ACCCACGTGCACAGAGCTGCACTGACCATCACCAGCAGCCCCAGGGTAAGCGGGGGCAAGAGCCAGGAGGACACTCGTGCCAGGGGGGAGAACAGGAGCCAACCAACTCCTGCAAGTTGCATACCAGCAGTCAGAAGCCATCTGGAGCTATTCCCAGGCCCTGAGTACAGCCCTCACTGGTACTTCAAGGGTTAACCTTCAGGCCCACATTGTCTGAAAACGACCCTGCAGAACACCCTTCAAACATCTATATTAAAAAGTCTCTATTTTACTAACCTACAAACTTCAGTGAAGACTGTCACCTGCAGAAAAACACCTTAAATTAGACTTCAAGTCTTCATCAGCATGAAGGCTGTTAACTCTTCCTTTGAAGAGCCTGAGACAAAAACTCACATTCCATCTAAATTAAGGAAAAAAAGAAAGCACCACCCCATGGGGAGACTCACAGCTCCCCAGGAACAGCTCCAGCCCTGGGCATCTGCTGCACTCTTAACTGCACAAACAGGACCAAGCAAGTGAAGGAAGCCAAGCAGCCTTTTATTGACTCCCAGAAGATGGATGTGGATTGCATACAACTCCAGAAAACCTCTTACTTCTCAAAACCCCAGAATTATAAACAAGAAAACTCATTCCTCATAAATACCCTGACACCACTCCTTTGTCAAAAGGTTTTGGCATGGTACATATTTCCTTAACAGTTGAATTCTAGTCGTTCATTTTAATAGCTTAAAAAACTATGTCTGTAATAATACTTAAATATATTGCTCATATCAGTGACTTCATAAAAAAAAATAGTTTGAGCTACTACCTTCCTAGTCGTCCAAAATACCCAGAGAGACAGCAACTTTTGAATGAGCACTCCAGAAAGATGGGTAAAAATAAATTGCTGAAAATTTTGCCCAGGTCTCACTTATCAGAAGACCGAGCCTCTTAAAAATGTGTTTCATCCACTAGCCATAATGATCCTGAGAAAACAAACATGCTGGTGGGACCAGCTTTCTCTTGATGCTGCAGAAAGGTGCATGTCTTCAACCACAGCCACAAGAGAATTCCTGCAACATGAACCAGGCAAGGTTGATCTCAAAGGCAGGTGCTCGACTGCTTCCAAAATCTGACCACATACAATTGAATTCCTTTTAGAACAGGTCAGTCTCAAGTCTAAGCCTCAGCCAGGTGATGACCACAAAAGCCTTGCTGGCTGGCAAGAGGCCACAGGAGCACTCTTGGTTTTAACACGCAGCAGACAGGATGGATTAAGTCACCAATGATGCTAAAGAAACACAGCTTGCCTGCTGCAGCCTGCAACACTTCCTCTGGTGTCTGGAAAAGGCAGGAACCTCTGGAAGCACCACAGCCTGCTTCGAGGGGATCACGAGGCCACAGAATTGCTCTCCTTCCCACAGCAGTGCTCCCTGTTAGCCACAATACTGCCAAAAATGCCTGGCTTGCAGCTCAGTGCAGGACTGCCAAGACACCACCCCAGAGGTTTCAAGTCATGCACAAGTGATTCTCAGGCTTGACCACTTTTTTGAAGTTGAAACTGGGTTCCTTCCCATTTGAGCAATAAAAAAGCAGCACTTCTCCTTGGCAGTCATGATTGGCCAGAAGTGGTTTTGCATCAAAGTCTGCAACACCCCAAGTACCTCTAACCACCCAGAAATGCTGGGGCAGAGATAAAGTAACTCCAGTTACAGCTTCATGACACCCCGGCTCTGGCTGTGACACCGGCTGAAGGGACTTCCACCTTCCACTACCCTGCCTCAGCAGATGAGGCAGCACAGCTGGATCCCAGCCTAGAAACAACCCTTGGCTTCCAAGCAGGGACCAGCCCGTGGATCTGATGTTCGTGTGGCACCAGCAAGGGCAGGTGGAGCGGAGGGCCAGGAACCAGCAGCAGAGCACTGACTGGGTTCTGTCAGGCCAAATCCCAGGTCATGAAACACCACCTTCATCGTTTGCAAAGGGAACAAGGAGGACCTCTGAGCTGCTCTTTGGAAGGCACGGGTGGATCCACAAAGGGCACCACACGTGAGCAGAGAAGTGAGAGTGGACATTGTCACACCCGCTCCTGAACGTCACCTACTAAAACTCTAAAAGTGCCTTCTATACACTAGTTAATCAAACTGACCTCACAATATTTCCCTTCTATCTTACATTTTTACAAAAAGCAGAACTGTCTACACCTTTAGGAGATACATCTTTCTAAGCCATCATCAAAGCCAATGAACCCCACGCTGGAGAGCAACTTACCTAGAGAGCGCCCTGAGGCCACCACACATGTAGAGCCAAAGGGCAATGAAATCACAGAGACAAGAACTTGGGGGACAACTCACAGCAAAGAAGTTTTAAACAACTTTTTGTCCATACAAGAGCTTTTCATTTCTTCAAGAGCGGAGCAATTAATACCCAGCAAGTGACTGTTCTTAGCAAGTCAGGCTTAGTGACCTTAACACTATTTTGTTTTGAAGTTGTCCTATTACTGCTACAGCTACAATTGTGTTCTGATGAGCTCCTGGGATATACAAATCATCTACTTCTAAACAGGTTTCTGCATGTTATAGACTAAGTTGCTTAACTTACAAATAATTATTCAGCTGTTTCCAGTTTACAATGGTAAAAAAAAATAAAAATGAAGACTTCACGATGCATGTAAACGGGAGGTAAATGTATTTTTAAAAACAGAATCAAAAGCTGCATGTTAAAAACTGGGTCACAGGCTAATAAATACATACATCAAAGACATTAAATTTTCAGCAGCTGGTTTTAAAGAGCAAGGAAGTGGGGAAAAACTAGCTGTCCAGACTCCGTTCTGGCTCTGTGGTCTATGTGCTAGAAATACCTGCAGTTCAAAATCAAGTAAACAGAGGAGAAGAATCAGCTTTGTCACCTATTTTCTTTAAAAAAAATAATTAAGCTACTTCCTAAAAGTGTGGTGTAAAACCTAGAGAAACTTTTCATTTCTTCATGCACTTGATGACATTGAGTTAAAAAAAAGAAATCATTTGAACCCAGAAAAAATGAGTCATTGGATACTGTAAGGAGAGCCTTACTGCAAGTTTCCTACAGCAAAAGTATTTCCAGAAATGCACCAGAAATTACTTTCCCGTAACAAAATATACAATTCTGTGTCAGATCATCATTGAGTTTCAATACTTACGCCGACCAGAAACAGTTACTGTGAAGTTTGAAAAATAAAACAACAACAAAGGAAAAGAAACAACTCCAAAGAGTACAAGGATGTTTTGATGGTTGTGGAGATGCCAGAAAGCAACGCTGGACACCACGGAATTCCAGAACGACCCCCTTTCCAAAGTGATGTGCAGTCTGGGAATTAGACCGTGAGAGAAAACTGATCCTGTTCTATGGGTTTCTCCACCCAAGCTCCAAGTCCTGCCTTCAGGAACGCTTTAAACAAGCACTCTTTGGCAGTTTGATACTCAGTGGCTCCTTGCTTGGTTTCGTGGTACAGGTTGGGCTTGAGGATCTTGGAGCGCAAGCTGGAGGAAAGCTGGGTGGGTGACAGGGAAGAGAGAAGAAACCAGTAAGCCAAACAGTTTGAGAGCGACCAAGTTATTAAAACAACTGTTATTCAAACAAGGTAATGAACTACAAAACCAAATTCCCAGGCAGAGGCAGGTGAGCTCAAGCTCCTTCCAGCCACCGTGGCCCTGTACCCGGCGTCGCTGCACCCGACTGCAGCGTTTGCCCCCTGCAAAGTGAGCCCCTCTGCAGCACCAGGGCTGAGGCTCTGGGCTCACCCCTGGGACTGGGCTCACCCCTGGGACTGGGCTCACCCCTGGGACTGGGCTCACCCCTGGGGCTGGGCTCACCCCTGGGACTGGGCTCACCCCTGGGACTGGGCTCACCCTTGGGGCTGGGCTCACCCCTGGGACTGGGCTCACCCCAGCCAGCCTGCCTTTGGATTATCAGCTTCCTTTGTGGAAGAAATCTAGACAACAAAAGCCATGGACAGCTGCTTCAGTGAGAGGGAAACCTCAGCAGGTTCAACTGCAGAGAGATGACCCTTGCAAATAAGTTAAAACAAGAAGGCAAGCTCAAAGGAAACAGCACCCTTAGCCATAAACCAAGGATTATGAGATCCCTGCGTGCATTTTGGACCTTTCACCATCAAATCTACCAACAGGCTAAACAAACACACTGATCCCTTCCGTGCCTACACGGAGCAGCAGCCGATGTCAGGCCCAGCTTCAAGAAGGCTCAGCAAGTGGCTTGTGGACACAGCAAGCACAGACACTGGGGTGAGAGGGCAGGGGGGCCCTGCAGACACACCTTGGCATGGACGCGCACCCAGCGGCTGTAGAAGGCGTGTTTGCACAGCCGAGACGCCCGGCCCATTTCATCTTTGCCCGTCGTGGCGTTTATCACTTCCAGGCCCGTGTCTCCGACTGTCCAGTTCACGCTGAAGTTGGGTGCTTTCCCCGGCTGGCGGGCTTCTGCGTTGCTAATGCCTGGAAGGAAAGGGATCCTTCGTGACAAGATCCAGTGCTGACTCTCGGTTTGTTTCTTTCCCCGGGGAGCCCCTGGTTCAGAGGAGCCCCAGCACCAAGCAGCCTGGCAGGCAGACCTTTCATTCCAAGGACATTCTCCTGCAGACTTCCCACCAGCTCGCAGAGATACCACCATGTACATCTGTCCTGGTTTGAGCCAGGATGAAGCCCATTTTCCTTTTACTGATTCTGTTTTTCCTTCAGCAGGCTTTAACTAGTAGCAGAGTGTTCCAACTCAGACTGATAATGGTGGGATGTGTTTCCAACTGCTGGGTCTTCAAGGTCACATCTTTGCTCTGCCAGCTCAGACACTACAGGGAGATCTCTGACCCCCCCGTAGGAGGCTGATCAACAACTTATTAGACAGCAATTCCCAGTTCCTGGGACTCAAGTGGCAAGATGGACACCACCAAATCCCAATGGATGCAACTAACAAAACAACAGCTATGGCCCCACGTTGGGCACCAAGAACTTATTGTCACCCTTTGACTCAGGTTGGACAACAATGCTCTCAATCCCCTCCCACCCAGGTAGGGAAGGAGAGAGAAAGAGAGAGACTTGGCTGGACTGAAAATTAAACTACACAGCTTTAATTAAACACTAATGATAAAAGAAAATATATACAATTATATACAAATGTGTTCAGATATGTTCAAAAGCCTCTCGTCTCTCCCCACCCCCAGCAACTCCCACAGCATCTCCTGAGCTGGGAACAGTCCCAAAAAGTCCTGGAGCTGCTGGAGAAAGCAGAGAGTGATGAAGGTCAGGAGAGCTGGGGCCTGGGGGTCCATGGGGAGGGATGGACGGAGTCCTCCCCGGGTGCCGGCCATGGGTGGAGGAGAAGGGAAGAAGAAGCAGGAAGGAAGTTTCTTCTGTGCTCTCTGCCCTTCCTCTGAGCTTACGTAGAGATATGGAATGGAATATCTCTGGCCAGTTTTGCTGTCTGTCTAACTCAGCCTCCTATGGGGGGGTCACAGATCTCCCCACAGTGTCTGAGCTGGCAGAGCAAAGATGTGACCTTGAAGACCCAGCAGTTGGAAACACATCCCACCATTATCAGTCTGAGTTGGAACACTCTGCTACTAGTTAAAGCCTGCTGAAGGAAAAACAGAATCAGTAAAAGGAAAATGGGCTTCATCCTGGCTCAAACCAGGACAGCATCTCATTCTCATCCTGGCTAAAGTGCTTCCTGTCCCTCCTAGCAGGGTGAACATGCATCCCTGGAGCTGTGAGAAATCAGTCTCCTCAGTGCTGGGCACTGTGGGGAGGTCTGGGCAAGGGTCCAAGGGGGCAGTAACATGAGCACCTTGCCACATCCACCTCAGGAGGATCTGGCCTTGCTTATAAGGCAAACGAAGGAAGCAATTATCAACCTGCAGATTATTATGAAGCAGAAAAAAAAAGGCTGCTCTGTTCCTGCTGCTTTCAGAGCCCCCTCAGTAGCAGGATTAGTGGAGTGTAGGAAAGAGCAGATATTGCGAGGCTTTGGCAGCTGTAACTGTCCAATCAATTCCCTCCTGCTCTGCTCAAAAATGCAGGTGTGTGCTGCTTACCTCATTCCAAAACAGGTGGGAGGCTATGAACCCTGGTCATGTCTCAACCCAGCTACCATTTCAGCTGACAACTTGGGGTGCAGCCTTACCCAGACAGGTCGTACTTATTTAAAAGTGCTGCCAAGGTGCCTTTTCCCTCATAACAATGGAGCTGGGTCAGAGCAGCAGGAGATGGCAGGATGCCTCCTAAACCAAGGCATGAAGGTGCCTACATTTCAGTAGCTGTCAAGCACTTCTCATTAAAACTACCCAGTCTCTCCCTCTTATGGACCATGAGGGGCACAGCATGGCTAGCACAGGCAGGGCACTGACACTGAGAGCATCCAGGTTTGAGCAAGTGAGCCCCAGCCTCAGCACCCTCCACAGAAAACCAGACTGGCAGGTATTTGAGTCTTCAGCTGCTGCCTCACTGTACATGGCTGTAAAAAACCTAAAAGCTGAGGAGCATGTGAGTAAAAGCTGAGGAGCACATGAGTTTTGATCCTGCAGACATTACAGGGGTGGCAAAACTCCAAGGTGTCTCAGTTGTCTCACTAGGAGACAGCAAAGGAACAGGCCACTTTTTTCTTTCTAATAAGTAAAGATCCCATTTTCAGGTTAAAACAACTCTCTCTGAGAAACTATTTCTCACCTACTCCAAGGTGATGCTGGGTCCTACACTTCATAGGAGCTAGCAAGTATGTATAAACTGAACACAAGCATTGCAGCAGGATGCATTTCTTGCTGATGTTGGAAACCCAGTCTAACCATGTGAAGCCAACCTCAGCCACCCAAGCACTGGACTGGCTCACTTGGCCCCTCATGTGGGCCCAGCACTGAGAGTGTGGGAAACTGATGAGGTCTGAACACCTCAGTGGAATTCAGTTTGCTCACTGAATCCACTCCTCATTTCATTAGCAAACACACATTTTGAAATATCAATCATGCTGAACTTCTTGAAGCTGTTGCATTTTTATGCTTGGTTTATGTCAACCTGGTCACTATGTCTGACCCCAACCAGTAATGAAGTGAATAAGTAAATATTAAAAAAATAACTCAACTGTTCCCCACTTCCTTAAAATATAAGCTGGAAAAAAAAATAAATACTGTGAATCACAACAGAAGTTTCCTAAAGAGATGTTTTCTGATTTCTTTTAGGAGAGATGCATCCAGAAGCTGAAGTGCAGCAGGTTGCCACAGATCTTCACCCAACTGGTCCATCAGTGGGTGAGCAGGGATGTGGGATGCACACAGTGACCAACCTGGCAGGGCAGACAGTGGTCCCTGCTGAGCAGGTGCCACCAAGAACATCACACAAGCAACTCTCGAGGAAGACCCAGCAAGAACAGGGCTTTATGACCAGACAGGAGTGGAAAAGTCCTCCTCACAGCTCCTGCAGCCCTCCTGGGCAGCTGGCAATGAGCACGTGCAGCATGTCTGCTGAGAGCTGGAGGTGACCCTGCACAGCACAACCCCTCCTGTGCCACTGAGGTGCAAACACCTCAGCTCCATGGGTCAAGCCACACAAAGCTTGCACCTGTACAACCTAGTAAGGTGTAGATTCTGGGTGCACACAAACCAAATCTCACCTCTGAGCTTCCAAAAGCCTACACATTCAGGCTGCTTTGGTGCAGCCTACAGGAAACAGACCCACGCTGGCAAACCTCTTCACCAAAAATTGGTTTTACCCAAACTACTGAGGCAAGAGGGCTAAGAAACTGCCAACAGATTGACCACAAGCAGGTCAGTCACATTTCTTCTTTTATTTAATGATATATATACTTAGATTATATTTATACTTATATTTAATTTTATATATATATATATAAAGTATCTTTGCTTGGTTCCATATGCTAGTGACCAAGCACAGTGATCAGATCTATCTCCCCAAGTACTGCAAACCAGGACTTGCTCCTTGATCTTGCTCCTGCCCTGTCAGCTCCTCAGACACCTGGAACATCCCAGGCACCCACAGAGAGAAACCAACTCAAGAGGAGGAAGCTGAACATCCCAGCATGTGCTGCCTTCCCAGGGCAATTACACAGTTGCACTCCTTGGGCTATTTGGATGAACTAAATACATCAAAAAAGAAAACAAACAACAGGCTCAGAATTTCAAATAGATTTAAATAATGTCAGTGCTTCATTATCTGCACAAACCCTGGAGAGATGGGCAAAGGGTTCCTGAAGGTGGATTGTGGGTAGCCCAGACAGGGAATGATAAAGGTCACTTCAAAAGCAAAGCATCTGATAACACTTGAGGCAGATCATGACTTCCCTCTCAAAACCTAGACATGAACATAACACAATAAGCTGAGACCAGGAATGGGAGAGAAAGCCAGGATATAAAGTATTTTATTCTCCTTTAAAAATGGCTATAACTCAGCTATTGAGAGAACACTATTCAGAACTTATTATTGGATATCATTTTAGTGGGGTAGAAGAAGCAAAATCAAAGGTCACAGCTCTTTGTGCCAGTGCTTATAGAAATAATAAAGCTTGACAGATCTTTGAGGACAGAGCTCAAAAAAGCTGCATCAAAAGGAGCTAAAAAACACCAGTGTGAACAGGAGGACAAGGTACCAAGGGAACAGCCAAAAAAAATCTCTTAAGGCTCTGCTGAAGGATTGATTTCTGTTGAAAAGAAATAAAAAAATGCAGATGAAGGCTGCAGTGAGAGGAGTGCTGAGGCATGAACACTCATAATAACCATTCCTGCCAGGGGGGCTGAAGGCTTCTTCTGTACAAAACATGAATTTGTTTTGCAAAGAGGGTGGGGGGGTTCCCAGGGCAGAGCCCTTCTCCACAGAAAAGGTGCCAGAGGAGCCACAATATGCAGCTGATAGCCAAGAAAACCACAGATGAGGCAGCAGGAACTGCAGTCATGGTACAGAACCTCTCCTCACAAACCAGGCAAGTTCTCCAGGATGGAAGGTGGCCAGTGCAACTCCAATTTTTAAGGAGTTGAGAGGTGTTCCAGGGAACTACCAGTCAATAACAGGACATCTGCAGTGGGGACGCTGCAGGAACCACTGGACACAGATGTAAATACAACAATAAAGGGAATGACTCAACAAAGAACTCTCTTGGTAACTGAAGGCTGGAGGTGGCCAGTGTGAAGCTAATTCCTAGAGAGCCCAGAGAGGAGAAGACCTGTTCAATGTCTTCCTTAAAAACAGACTAAATGGACACCAGGATGAGAACGATCTCCTTGGGAAGAGCCAACACAGCTGGAGACCCTCAAGGTGCAGAGGTGGAAACTGTGTGTGGGGAAAAAAGGAGGTGAAATAAGATTGTTGCTGATACTGAATTATTTAAGAAGGTAAATAAGAGGAGCAATTGCAAAGAGCAGCAGAAAAAAGCTCACAACATTGGGTGACTGGGCAATAAAAAGGCAGATTAAATTCTTCACGCATAAATACTAGATAATACATTTGAGGAAAAAACAGGGCAATTTTGCATAAGGAGTGCTGGACTTGGAGCTGGATATCAGCATTCAGGAAGGAGGTTTTAGTTTCCAATGTTCAGTTCTACCAATAGGGCAGGTCAATGATCAACTGCAATCAAAAGAAGCAAAGAGAAAGGGATTATTAATGAAGGATCATGGAACTGAACTGGTGCCCCCACATAAATCTCCATATAATGTTGATTTATCCTGAGTATCAGGTGCTGCTCTGCTCCCCCTGTCTCAGGAACATGACCATAGAATGGAAGGGCTGATCCTTGACTGGAAGAGTCAGCAGAAAGGAAATCCCATTGCACACATCTTTACCTGTCCTACAGCCCTCCTCACTAAAGGAAGCTGTGGACAGTACAATGGTGAAACTGGTTCAAAAAAACAAAACCAGAAGTTCATGAATTAAAGTTCCATTCAGGATTCCTAAACCCTGACTTGGGATGTGAATCTTGGGAGGTATCTCTTAGTATTTCCCTCTGCTTTTCACTCCTGACTACCTGGAAGACACTTAGCATTTCCCTCTGCTTTTCACTCCTGACTACCTGAGGGAAGGAGCACTGGGCTGCGTGGATCACTCCTGCTCTTACCTAAGACAGTTCTTACACTGGTGCCAAGGCAGTCCCCAGATGTGACACTACTCCAGGAGCTCTCATCCAAGAACCAAACATGAAATCCCTGTCAGCAGCACCACGAAGAACCAGTCAAAACTGCCAACAAAGTCATTTCTGACAACACTCTGGTAAAAGATGGGAAGCTTTAGAGAAACCAAAGTGTAAGAAACAATCAACTGACTAGACTTCAAAACAGCAAAAACTTTGCCTGTATTAATATTGTAATCACAGCTCAGAAAAAAGGCACTGCCCACCAAAGCAGGTATTACTGCAGGGCTGGAGGTTTGGTTGAGCAGCTGTCATGGACAGCAGAGCATGTTGGGGCCCAGCCTGCCATCTGCTTCATGGTCACAGCCCCAGAAGATGCCACCAGCCCAGCTTCTTGGGCCTGAGGCACCTGAGCACACCTACCAGCAACAGGAACCATAAGGACAGAGCCCTGATGATTTCTAGTTCAGTCTAGTTGCCTCCAGTGAGGAAAAGCTTGTCTTTTATATGTAATGGGCTCTCTTTTATTTATGACTTCTGCTCTCAAGGATTTTCAAGGGCTGGTTCTCTGAACAGACCCTGCTCTACTGAGCTCTCCCACCCTAATTCCACCCCAGGTGACCTCCTTTGTGCCCATGTCCCACAGCAATTCCAAAAAATGAGTACCCTGCAGACTGGCACTTTGTTACTGGCTAATTTATGCAATCACCCTCATGCTGTCTGATGGAGAAATGAATCCCTTTTCAGATTACTCTAGAAATTCACACGATTCAGACCTGTACTCTCTTCAAGTGAGCTGGCTCTCTCAGTGAGAGCCCACGTGCCCTCAGCTAAAGGGATTCTGAAAGGCCAGGTCCTTGCAACCAAAAGGCTTCCAAGAGTCAGCACAGAAGGGAGTTTTCTACCAACATAATGGCCTCCCCCATCCCACAGCTGAAAATCAGCTCCCTTGATCTGCATGTTCACACTTCACTGGCTGGGAAAAGGAGGTGTAAGTAGAAAACCTCCTATGAGAAAAGAAAGATGATGAAAAGACAGATTTTGGCAGTAGATAACAAAAAACAAGTCCCACTTTGACTTAATGCAACTGTCCCTGCAGATATAAAAGTTGTTTTATGAGAGGAAAAAAACAAACCACTTTTTACAGTGCTTTCTCAGCTACACAGGTGAGACAGTGGGGAAAAGGCAGGTATTTCTCTTTTTGCTCCACCCTCTGGTAGAGAGGAGTCACCACCACACAGCTGTGTGTGGCACCAGGAGGAACAAGGACCTGGGGACAGGTGTCTCTGCAGTGCTTATTCCAGGCCAGAACAAGCTGTAAAATGTGGGAGCCAAAGAGCAGGCAGGTGCCCCAGCAGACCCAACAGCACAGGTCAGAAGACTAGGCTTAAAAAGGCTAAACCAGTAGAAGAAAACCCATCAACACAATTCTCCACCCCACCTCCCAGCCAAGCTTTTTGAGACATTTATTTTCATGGAAACTCAACAGCTGAGTCCTCTCTACTGCTCAGTGAGTCCTGGTTGAACTGTTTTTAACAGCTGGTGCCATTTCATGGCAAACAATGGTATCAACACGACAGAAACATGATTGCTGGGAAGACAAGGTAGGATACGTGTTGTGAAAAGGAGAACAAAAAACTCCTCCCACTCCATCCCAAACCTGCTGTCTTGAAGAATTGGTAAGAGGTCCCCACAGTCAGGCAGAAACAGCCCATACCTCAGCAGCTGTGCCTATACAACAGTTCAGTATTGCTCCTGAGAGTGTTGTAACTGTTACTTACTTGCTAATATAAAGACAAATGTGTTACTTAACATTTTAATATGCCCTAGTTCAGGGAATCCTTATTAATTACCTTTCTTATCTAAAGAAATGCTGCTTGTTCAATATGCTCTTTTCCCCACTCCCTCCCTAAATCTATTTTTAAAATTCATGTCAAACTTTCAACATTATTTAAAATACTGAGCTGCTTTTCCCCCTCCTTGGAAACAGACACATGCCAAAAGCCAAGCTCTGCCAAACAAAGTGAGAGGGAGGATGAGATTCCAGTTTCAAAGCCTTCACAGCATTACTGCAACTACCAGTTTTTGAATTGAAGGCCCTTCAGGACTTGTCTTTGCAAGTCGTGGCTCACTGGGAGGTCACTGTTCATTCAAAAGCTGCCATTCCTCTGAGCCTGCCAGTGCCTCGGGTCAGCACGAAGCCAAAGAGCAGCACCTCCATGTTCAGCAGCAGCTGCAAAGTGCAACCACAGCCACGGTGCTGCCTGCCAGAGGTACTTGATCCTCTCTTAAAAATATTCCCAAAGGATGCGCCACTGGGACCTGAATGCAGCATTTGTGCATTAACCTGCTCAGTGGGAATCCAAATATTATGATCATTGGGTCATGCAAACAAGTTGGGTGCCACAAAAACTGAAGCTAATGCTGCACCCAACAGACTGATGACAAAAGGAAAACACAAGCCATGCCAGCCGAGATGTTCTCTCCACCTGTTTGCAGTTGGTTATTGGTCTAGAAATTATGAACCACGTGTGTCTACCTTGGCATACTGCTTAGTGACGTGGTCATTCAACAGATATCTGCAATGGCAAGAGAAGGGACAGTGAGACAGGCTACTTCACAGGTGGGAAGAGGTTTCACTAAGCCAGGGCCTTGAACTTGCCTCACAGGTTGCCAGGACACACAGTAATTACGTGTAACCACTTCCAACGGTTCAGCTCTTGCCACCTTTTAACTCACAAAGGGCCCTTGCTATGGTATTTCTGACCAAGTATCTCTATTAGGTTTAGACCACAACTTCTCTGCTGTAACCAGAAAGCAGTTTACTCACAGTACATAATTTGCAAGGCTTTGAGAACTGCAAAATCACATTGCTACTGGAACACGCTTCGTTACCGGCACCGCCTTCTCCATTAGATACTTGCCACTAAGTAAAGGTCTGTTGAGTGTATAAAGAGGTGGTAGATCTTCTATCTCTGCTATCCTCTGGTATACGGCTCTGGATAGATGATCCCCATGATATAAACTCCCCAAGATGATGCTAGAGAAGTAAATTGGCTCCACAAAGAGGCTAAGTAAGGCTCCTTGAATACCCAATACGTTCCACCTAAGAGGGAGGGAAAAACAAAACAAACAAAACAAAAAAAACACTTTCTTTTTAATGGAACAAGTAACATCTGCCAGACATAACAGCAGTCAATCACAACGGACCAGACTTTCAGCCTTTCCTCTGGACTAGCACATGGCTACTGTAGCATAGCTGTGACACCTGCCAGAACTTCAGAAAGCAGTTTATGGGATGCCCAACAAAACCCTGAGTAAGAGGATCAGGTCTACAGTGTCAGCACCCACTTCAGGAGTGGGCTCCATAACTCTGCCTCCCCACTAACATGTCTGGTGATGCCTTTTCCAGCATTCTAATATGCTAGGGATAGACAGGAGCCTTCATTCAGAGAAAGGCCAACTGGGGGATCTTCAGTCAGAAACAGCAGCTGATGCATCCAAAAGACACCTGGCAGCAGGCAGACCATCCCTCCCAGGAGGCAAGAAGGATTGTGTCTGCAAGACCTCAGCACCTCATCACCCTAAGGGAAAGCTTGTCCCTGGCACCCCAGCCAAACTGCCACCTCCAGCTGACAGAAAGGACATAGGCAGTTGCTAGCAATACCCACAGGCAGGGAGAAAACCAAAGCTGAAAACATGCAGAGTGCATTTGTTCTTTGCTCACTTGAGCTGCTTCCCAGACTCCAACCACAGATCCCTGTCTGCACCACTGGGACCTACACTAGATCAGGCCCAGTGGCAGGGATACAGCATGCACAGGAGCAAATACTTGAGGTTTTTTTGTAGATTTGATCTAGTTCTGGCTCTCAATTTGTATGTAACAATCATACAAAGTACTCTTTAAAACCTCTTTAAAAGTCTCCTGCAGAACATTTTCACTGTCCTTGTCCACGAGGGATCCTCACAAACAGCTTGGCACTATTAAAACAGTGCAGCTTGTGCTGGGCCAGCAGGGCTTCACATCACCATCAGTTCAGGCTAGAAGCTTCACTGCTGCCAAAACTGAACTACACATTGGCTACAAGACTTGTGGTTTTTTTTTAAAAAACATTCTGCAAGAACAAAAATTGCAATCCAAGGAAACAATTTCTTTGCATATCTTTACTGAGGGTGAAAATGGAGGCAATGTGCATTAGCTTACTCACCTGTTATTTAAAAAAGCCTGCCCCAATGAATGTCTAAAAATACTGTGCTAATAAAAAATCAGGCACATTTTACATTGAGCAAGGGAATATTTTGTGTAACACTGAAAGTGCCATCAGGAACCAAACAGCAAGATATCAAGTGAAAGTTCCTGCTTCCCAGGGCCAAGATGCTTTTCTAAGGACCTTGCCATGAATTCTGTAAGCACTGAGGTATTTCAAGTGCCAAATGAATCATACTAGTATTTTCTGGTCGTTTGCAGTATTGCCTGCACCAAGCACAGGGAAGCCTATGGACTGCCACAGATAACGTGGAAGAAACCACTGGAAATAAAGACTAAGCACTGGAAACTGAGGCCTGACAATTGTATCTGAAGCTTGCAGATGTGCAAACCAAGCTTCCTTCAGTGAGGCACATCACATTTCACTTTCCATGAACAGTGCCTTAGTGACAGATGGACATTTCTAAAAAGGCCAAAGCATTCCTCTGGCAAGCCCTAGCTCCCTAAAAACAACCTCTGCCAGACCCTTTTCCTTGCTTCAGCCTTCAGTATTGCCAGAGCTTGTGTTTTGCTGTTGCCTCCCACACAGGGAGACCTTCTCCAGCACAGACAATGAAAGCTGAAGTTTGCCTGGATGAACTTGTTTTGATTTAAAAAGTGTGGACACCTGAACAAGCTTCTGCCAGGTGAACTCTTATCAGCTGGTATGACAAAAGCTGCCCTGTGACTGCCCACATGCCTGCTGCTCTGCTGGCATCATGTTTACCACCCACTGTGGTACGTGCTGGTTCAGAGCAGTTGGTTTGCTGCAAGGACAAGGTTTGCAGAAACCATTCATAGAACCAAAGCCTCAGGCTCTTTGTACTGATTAGGCAGGGTTGGATGGTGGTTAGGTTGATAAAACTAGCTTTATGTTTCAATGGTTGTCACAAAAGCACATCTACTTAGCCATAGAGAGGTGTACTTGTACCAGAAACTGGTAGTAACACGGAGGTAAATGTGAAACCCAAAGTTCTGCAGATTCTAACAGAGTCAAAGGAAAGATTGCACCAAAACCTTCTGCTTGTTCCTTTTTTATGCTGTACTTTATTCTGTCAAACAGTCATTTCTCACTTCCACTGGCACATACACTAAAAATAACCTCCCTAGCTATAAGCTGAGAAGAAGTGACACCAGCACCACACACCAGCTTTTGAAAGGCCACGGGGGCTGCCTCCTGAGATGGTCAAACTGCCCCTCACCCTTCCAGTTCACAAGCACAGCTTGTTGGAAGGCATGCCAAGAACTGCTGTCCACCTCAGGCCAGCTTTACTGAAACCACAACTTCTTTGAAGTCAGTGTGCCAAATTCTGCGTTTCACTACAAAACATGAGGTGCAGAGCAGAAAAAGCACAACTGATTAAAGAAAACTGTCATCAAGTCAGTGCTGCCTTTCCAGTGAAACAATTAAGCAAAGGACTTTATTCTTCAGATTTAAAACAGTATCAGAAAAGAGCTAAGTTACTGAAGCAACTTAAAATTGGCTTACAAAGCCAAACCTCCCAAGGTTCAGATGCAGTTTGCAATAGAAAGGAACCTTCCCACACTGCAGCTGAGTGGAGACAGACCCTGGCTGCAGCACAGGACTCACTCAGGAGAATGTGATGGCTCCAGAAAGCAGTAATGGAACACAACTCTCCATCACTAATTCAGCAGTTTATATCCTGCCCTGGCCATGGGCTCCCACACCAAATGACCTGACCTCAGGACCTGGGCAGGTCAAACAGCAGAGTGGGATCACGCTGTGTCTTCTCTCAGGAAGCAGGAAAAGCAGGAAAATGGCACCACGTTTGCAACAGAGACAAGCACTGCAGCAGGAGTAGAAGCAGAAGGCAGGCATGTTGCCTCATGGCCAGACTGAAATGCCTAAAGTAATGGTGTGGAGGCAAGGGATCTGCAAAGGGAAGGGCCACCTCAGCAGGCAGGGAGACACCCTCCAGGGTAAAACTTCTCACTGGAGGCATCAGAGACACCTTCCTTAGCTAAGCACAAAACTAATGCCTCTTATGACAGTACTTTACATATTCTGAGTGGTTTGTTTTTAAGTTCACACATGACTTTTACAACCTTTATAAAAGCTCCAAAATAAAGCTGACATCTGAAGTACAAGCTCCCAGTTGCTATAAAGCCACATGGCTTAGGTCCAGACTGCCAGCACTGCAGACAGGTGCCCTGACTTGAGCTGGGGCTCTAGATCTCAGGACAGTTCATGGTGATTTACTCAGCAGCCAAGTACCACTGTTGGGCTGAGCAGCTCTCCAGCAGGGAGCTGGCCAGGGAAGCTGGGGCACCTGCTGCAGATGGGGACACCTGCAGCCTGTTCCACAGCGTGCAACACACTTCCAGCTTCCCCTCTGCAGTTCTGCAAGTGATGCACAGCACAAGGAGAAGCAGCCTGGGCTGACCCCAGAAAGTTCAAAGGCGTGTCTACTCATCCTGAACTGGCTTTCTGCTTCTGAGCTGCATTTTGGGAGACAGAAGACCATTTGGAGTCACCAAGCCACTTGGGTCACTCTCTACCAGGAGCACGTTAAGGTGATGTTTAAGCCCCACCGTGTTGGATGAGGCAATATAATTTCCAAAGCTCTTCTAGCAAAAATTAGAAAAGCACTTAAACCTGAGAAGGGAAACAAAAGCTGCAAACCAAAGCCACTTCACCTCAGTCAGGCCTGACAACACACAACCACAATGGCTCTGCACACCACATTGGCACCTGGATTAGGAAGTTCAGGGTTCCCACCGCTACACATACGAGCTACTGCTGCTTCTCTGGGACAAGGAAAAGGAAATTATAACTTTATCTGACTACCTGGCCACTGAGCAGCTCTGAACAGTTAAAAAACATAAGGAAGATGACAGTGAAAAGCTGCTGTGACCTGCTGCTGCTGTCAAGTGTGAAGCTGCACCCCAGCGTTTCCCCAGAGCCAAGCCTGGCTGAAGAGGTCTCTGCCTCTCACCATCCTGATGTCATTTCTTGCACAGCTCTCCCTGAAGTCAGATCAGTGACAGGATTCAACTTTTTTTTTAAAAAAACCAAACACAAAACCCTGGCTTTGTGTTTTGAAGAGGCAGTTTCTCTGGCCAGGTTTACAGCACAGCTCCACAAGGCACTGCTGAGGGGCAGGGAGATGCAGCACCTGGGCATGGCTGCTGGGAGCCTCCTGCAACACCCTCCATCAGAGAACACAGCACTGGAAGCACACTCCCAACTCCAGCTGAATGCTAGCTGGCTTTTAGAAAGGCAACAGGCACTGGACTATTGATGCTTTTTCCTGCAGAGCCACCACTCTGCTGAGCAAAGTGATGCAGGGTGGAGCAAACTGTGTAAGGAGCAATTAATCATACCTGGTTTGCCCAACATGTGTCCCTTAAGTAACCTCTTCTTATTTCTCTCTAAACTCCTCATTATGTTATATATTCATATATTCACTGTTTGCTATGAGGAAGAAATAATGCATCCTTACACACTGCTCTCTCATTTGTTATCAGGTGTGTTATTTTGAGAAATTGCCATCTGTTGTACCAGCAGGTCACATTTTCTTAAATCAAGTCTTTTTCTTATATAAAAATTCTGCTTTCCATTGAGTATGTTTGTTTACTACGAAAATTCAGCCACCTGAAAAATTTCAGGTGCAAATCAAGGACTACTTCAATTCAGAAACACTTTTGTTTCCCAGGGAGTACAGCTTGGGGTGCCTCGTATCCCCATGCTGCTCTGCAGCCCACACTTAGCTACAGTGAGACCAAAGTACCAAACTAGCCCTGTCCCCTACCTCCTTCACAGAGTAATCTTGTGCCCAAGTGCCCAGAAAAATGTCTTTCAAACCACTGCATCTCTCTGCTTTTACAGACCAGACCCCAACAATGGCCTTTGCAGATCTGCACACACAAACTGTGCTCACACCAAGGATACTCTCTGTGCAATGTGCTCCCCTGAGGTTTTACAGATGAGCACCACCTTGGGGAATGTTTCCTGAGAAGTAACTATCTGAAGCCAAAAACCTAAAATGAATGTGGGCAGAAAAAGACACCAAAAGGAGAGTGACAAAACCAGACACCATCAAGTACCATGGAACAAGGTCAGGGTCCATTTAAAGCAGCTGCATGGATCTTCACATCCCAGAGCAGTGAATCTGGTCCCAGAAACCAGCCTGACATCACACTGCAGTGTGCTGCCAGCATGAACACACTCTGGTAATCCTGTCCTGCTACTTTTGACCCAAATGGGACTTCACCCATGGCCTTCCCATGCTTCTCACTATTTTTTCCTGGCTTGTTCCACCAGGCTCAGGAGGGTGCTAACAGCACATTGCAACCAAGCACTCAGGGGCTGGAAGTACCAGCTTGGATGATACATCTAATCCACACAGATGAGGCTGCTCAGATCCAAGTTTTCCTGCTGGTGCATCCTGCACCCTGAATTTATCCACAGCTTTTCCAGGCTGGGGCTGTGAACCTTTAGGCAAGCTCTAGTGAAAACTGGCAGGGCTCAGGCACACTGGAGGACTGACTGTTGGACACTACAGAGCAACGAATTCCTTCAAAGGTCAGTGGACAACACATGGGCAGAAGTGTCAGGGAAATGTAAATAAAAGAAAATAAAAGAATATGAAAATTTGGGCCTCCTTACCCGTCATACAGTCTTTGTTCTGTGTCAAGGGTTTCTATTTGCTTCCCTCACTGGCACAAACAAACTTATTCCCATTAGCCACCAGGAGAGGTGACAGCTAGCTAGGCAAGCGAGATGGAGTCTGTTCTGCATCACACAAAATCAACAAAATGGTCAAATCTGTTCTAGCTCAGCAACTGTCTTCATTCTTCTTACTTGCACTCACAGCAAAGATGATGTGACAAAAGAAGTCCAATCAATGTGGCACCATTCCTGGGTCAGGCAGCTGGGGAAAGCCCCTAACATGACCCTGGGGAATGTTTGGTGAATTTCACTGAACGTACCCTAAAAGAAACTGAAATGTCATTTTTGTAGAATTATTTTTCAACAACCCACTGTCCTAACTGTGAAAGGCCCTGTCCATTTGTTAGGTGGATTTAGACTAAAGGAAAATGTCCTCCTTCAGTAGAGATGCTGATGGACTGAGACAAGACTAGAGGAAAAAAGCTTCCTCCTGTGCTTTTGATTTGGCACCTGCAGTTTACAAGAACAGTTCCAACTTCATGCACTTCATGAACTTTGAATCAGATCAACTGTGACTGGGTAAGACAGAAGAGCTCTCTCAATAGAAAAGTTCACTACAATATCATCAGCTGAAAAACCTGGCATTTCTCACCTTTTTGCAGAACACAGAGGCTGCAAACACACAGACTCATTTCCAAAAACTATGTTGCAACTCTCCCATATTTCTGATAATTTTTTTGTGGGTAATCATTTGTCCATTGATGATTTTGAAAGAAAACTTCCAATCTTTGGCAAAAAGGGCAATAAAGAAGTAACTGGATAAAACAAAAGTGCCAGTATTGGAAACAAGGTATTTAATTACAGTAAAACTATTTAAAATTAATATAATTTTAAAGTAAAAAATTAAAAGTGCCCATCAATTAAGATTTTAACTAGGACACTTTTTCCTTGTATAAAATAATAGAAATCTCAATCTATCCATGTGACACGTATGTATCTTGATACTATAGAATCAGAGACTGGTTTGGGTTGGAAGGGACCTTTAGAGATCCCCAAACCTCCTGCATGGGCAGGGTCACCTTCCACTAGGTCACACTGCTCAAAGCCCTGTCCAGCCTGGCCTTGAACATTTCCAATGATCAGGCAAGGATGTAACAGCAAAGGCAATTATCCAACTATAACTAAGGTCTTACATTTATTGCACTGTTTTGCTGCTGTTCTACTACTTTAGGGAGAGGAAAAAGAAAAAAAAAAGGCATTTCTAATGATGGGTAATGGTTTCTCCTGGCCTCTGAAGCCAGCAGAAGGTCTGACACCAATGAAGAATCAGAACTTGATCTCTGGAGTTCCAGCCACCTCCCCACTACGTCTGAGCGATGAAGCAAGGCAATCAACGACCTACACCTTCTCTGCAGGTATCATGCAACCCTTCCTTGTTCAGTGACAAGCAGCAGTCAGGAATGAATCATGGGATAGCTCACCTTGCTATCTTGTCACTGCAGGACATGGTAAGCAGCCTTTCTCCCTGCAGGACACCATCCCAGGTCTGGATGGTGGTGGTGGAGCGCACAGGGATGGTCCCTTCCCCAGACTCTATCTTGGTCCGCAGTTGTCCTCTGGCTTTGCGGTTGGGATGCCTGTCCCCTTGGTCTAAATGACAAAAACACCTTTCAATCACCTGAGAAACATTTCCCCCCCCTGTTTAACAGGCAGCACGACAGCACAAGAGTCAATTCAAGGTGTTTGCCTGCGTAACTGCTGGCTTGCACAACGATTTCTACTGCTCCTGGCAAATTAGCTACAGCATCAGGCACCTCTCTCCAACACAGTCTTCTACCCCACACCTGCCATTAAACCAAGCTTCCCAGAGAGGAGCAGGGAGCTCTTCAGTTCTGCTCTGTGAGTCACAGTGTTAGAATGGAGTTAATGGACAGGCAGGCAGGGGCAGGCAGGCAACCCCTGCTAACGGATGGAAGCAGCACAAGGGCCAGGTCAGTTCTGCACAAACACTTGCTGACTCACTGGCTGATCTTGGCTACCTTTCAGCCTCTTCCAGACCACTTGGTGGATCAGTCTACACTTAACTTCTACCCCACAGGAACAACAGCTCAGAGCTTTTGGGGGTTTTTTTTGGAGAGATCTTTGCCTAACACACATCTACGCTAAAAGAAGACACCTGGATATTAACTGTGCCACTTGTACATCATGCCCAAGTGACATCTCTCTTGCTTGACCAGGCCTGCTGTCATACCCTCCTGTGCTGCCTCGTGTGGTGAGAAGATCCTGGCGTCGCCACAGGGGGATGTGCTGATGTAGAGGTGAAACTGCACATTCTCCTTCAGCTTAAACCCGCCTCGCTCCGACTTGATAAAAATGGATTTCTGTTGTTCTTCTTTATTGCTGAAACAGAGGACAAAACTAGGGTCAGAACTGACGTTGACACGTTACTAACCATAAGCTGGTCATCTTAACAGGCATGAAAAAACAAACAAAAGGTCTCTGGAAATTTTCTAGTACAAATCTAATATTGTTACAAATAACAAAATTAAAAGGCCACACCCAGAAAAGAAACAGAGAGCCCTGAACAAACCCCCAGTGAGCCTGCAGGCACTTACCAGCAAAGGAAACATCACCCTTCAGTCCATTTTGAGGTACACTGTTCACAGTTTACACAATTAACCCCCAGTTATTCTTCTGTCCTCCCCTCTGGTGACCCCCCCAACTGAACCCACGCTTTGTTGAGTCTGAGCTCTGAAACACCCCCATGCAACAGGACAAACGCTTCACATAGGAGTAATTAAGAGAGATATTTTACACAGACACCTTTTCAGCTCCACGTGGTCAGCTCATCTTCCTTCTCCCTCCAGCTTACCTGAGATACAGCTCCAGTTGTGTGTACAGGAATTTCAGCAGGCACCGGCGAGACACAATTTCGGCGTGACAGTCGTTCAGGGCGAGGCCACGATCACTCATGTATTCACCATTGATGCACTTGGTTCCTGTAGAAACACTGATCACCAGGGCATCTTTCACATCTGTACCTGCAAGGCAAAATTTCAGGAAGAAGACAGGATTAAAAAAATCACGAATCACCTAACAAATCACCTCCCTGCAGAGCCCAAACAAGGTGTGGGGGGGGTGTTCTTATTTGTTTGATTCTTTTTCAAGGCTTTTTTTTTTTTTCCTTCTGACACTTTCTATAAAGCAAAAGCTTCACTCAGCCATACCAGTCTAATGGTTCTTGTGGGTTCTTCATGCTGGAGCTCAGATGAATTAGAAACTGAAAACCTGCAGGGAAATGTTGCTGCTTCAGAAGGAATTACTAAAGCCTGAGCTCCAAGGACGGTGCTGTTGGCCCCAGCCCCAGGCAGCCCAGCTGGCTTCCAGCACGTACCCTCTGGCCACCTAGGCAGACATGCACAGGGAATTTAGAAACCTGAAAGGCACTGATGTATTAAAACAACAGCATATTCTGGAAGGGTATTAAGCCAACAACTAGAAAGGCAAGACTAGGGAGCGAAGAAGTTTAAACGCTCAAACCACTGTGAAGCTCAGCAGCAGCACAGAGCTTCTGGAAATGCAGTTCCTGCTGTTAAATAACAACAAGAATTAAAGTATTTTGGGTGTTTTCTATACAGAGAACTGCCTTCATCATGAAAAAAAATAATCCAGTCAGTTGCATGAAAAATATGGAATGACAGGTCAAAATGTTACATCCCTCTAGCAAAACAGCAGTAAAAACAGTCCCAATAAGACACAATAATTCCTCTGAAGCTCTTGAGGCCTCACCAGCAGAGGCAGAGGGCAGCCAAGCCCTGCCCAGTGCCTTCTGCTGTCTCCCTCCCCTCTCACAGAATGGTTTCTGCAGTATGAAAAAGCAGAAAAAACACTTTAAATGCACCACAAGCACCTAGGGTTGAGGATCCTCCCATAACCACCCATCTGCATGACAGCAGTGCCCATTCCAGACAGGGAATTGGTAACAGGAGTTAAGGAAGTGATTGAGATGTGGCTGTTAGAATATACGGCTTTAATAAAAATGAACATGAGCCCAGATGCCCACTCCTGCCTGTGGGGCTGGGGAAGAAGCCCATGGAGGAGAAGCAGGGAGCTGCTTCACCCTACAGCACAAGGCTGTGCAATGGGGTCATCTAATTCCAAGGGTTCCCCAGACACATCCACACAAATATGGTTTCTAGTTCTGTGTAAAGGTAGTTTTTTAGTTAATTAAAATGTGTTCACATGTGAATTCTTAACTCTTTGGCCACACAGCTCTTCTGGGAGTTACAGCCACAGGACTGTAACTATAATAAAAACTTGCTAAATATCACAAAATACATTAAATAAAAACTACAGCATGTTCCTCGCAGAGCTTTGCATTTGGGGCTAAAATGGTGTTAGTGCTGCACCGTTTTGGTTGTCACTGAGCAGTGCTTGAGGGGCATCAAAGCCTTCTCTCCAGACACCCCAAAAGCCAGTGTGTTGGGGGTGCACAAGAGACTGGGAGGGGACACAGCTGAGCCACAGTGACATCCCACACCATAAGTGTTGTGCTCAGCAAAGAAAGAGCAGCACGGATCTCCCCAGGAGAGGGCAGAGTGGGAGACTGGGTGGGTGTTTGACTGCTGGCCAGGGTCAGCCCACCATGGATGTCTTGTGATGGAGTTTGGACCACATTGTCCCTTTGTCACATTCCTCTGTCAACAGAGTGTTCAAGTTATCATCTGTCCCTAGCAGCACCTTCAGATCTCTCTGCTCAGTGGAGGTCTCCACAAACAGCCTCACAGGGGGAAAGGGCAGTTCAGGTGGGTTGAAGACCAAGACAAACCTTAGCCTGAGAGAAATTCAGCAGCAGTGTGGTCACAGATCAGCTTAGGGCAGAACTTCCCCACTTTGGGTGAGCTGGGAGGGGAGGGACCTTGTGCCAGCAGGCAGGGAACCACGACATGATTGCTGCTTGTGCCTGCACAGCTGTGTCAGCTGCCAAAGCAAACCTGCTTTCCTCAGGTGTTTCTCCTAAAATGACTGAGGCACAAAGCACTAAGAATAAAATACAGCAGGAGTAACTCAACAAAATGCAAAACCTTAAAAACATGGAAAGCCAGTATCATTTTAGCTAATATGTCAAAACCCAAGAATGCCATCTGGGTGGGGAAATCTATTTCAGATTTACTTTCCAAAAGTTGCACGATTCATTTTTAAAGGCACGTGGATTTTGTAGACCAGAAGTTCTCTCTGATGGCTCAGACAGGCAGAAGACAGGAATGATGTGGAAAAAGAGGCATTTGCAGGTCTAATTTTCCCATAGTTATCTTTAGCCAAGAATAATTGCTAGATTTAGTGCACCTTGAAGATTAAACAGTAAAAATGTATTTCAATACTGGTTTCATCTGGGGGAAAAAGATACATTTCCTGGAATGGAAACAGAGCTCTTGCATTTCAGGAGTTAAAACACTACTACTTTTTTTCTTTACCTGTTGTCATGACAATTCCAGCAAGGACTTTCCTACGTGCATGTGGAGATGTGAAATTTTCTGTCAAATCACTGAATTTATCTACAACCAAACGTGCAACAGCATCAGCTAAAACCTGCAGGATCACACAGAAAATCACATTAGAAAATTAAACACATACTTAAAAAAAAAATCACAGCAGCATTAGGTTATAAAGATTTGCACATCTGACAGAATAAATTAAACAAGTGGACCTTGAGGCACCACCAGCAGGTTAAAGAGGTGGCTGTGGTCCAACTTTCAGGCATATTGAACACTTACAGCTCTAGCAGTGGAAGCAGAGTGCTGTGAGCTCCAGCTCCATTCACACGGGGTCAGCACAAGCCAAGCACCCAAGTACCTAATGCTCACAATCCTTGTGAACATTTGAAGCCTGGGAGAACAACTGGAGAGACAGATAAGTCTGTGCTTCATGCTCAAACACATCATTTCAGTTATCTTCAACACTGGACTTGACAAGAAGATGAAGTGCAGAAAACAGGCTCCTCCAGCCAAAATGTTTATTATTCACTATCTAGCTATGACATAAATCAGAACAGATCTGTTTGCCACACTGGTTGAAGATTTTGCATTTCTGACTTTCACAAGACATATACAAATTTAGGAATAGAAAATGTCAGTGTATAACCCAGACTAAGCCATCTCAAAATTAGGAAGGATTGAATCTCTTTCAGCTCCAGGAAAATGTGACCAGCAACAGTCGCAGGCCTGTTGTATCTTGCCAGCAGGGTTGGCAAGTAATGTCAGACTGTAGGGGGTTAAATTCTAAGATTAAGGACACCTTCCAAATACCAGCCCTGCTCTTGTTGACCATGGTTCAGTTCAACCCTGCAGCTAATCCAACCTGCTGTTTTTAAGGCAGTTGGAACCGTAACAGCTAGAAGAGATGAGTCAAGATCAAATTCTTGAATTTTCACCTGAAAAGAAACTGAAAACCAGGGAAATCTGTGCAACAGCATCACTAGCACAGCTGGTTGGTCCAGAGGGAGCAGCTGAGAGAGGCAAGTTACACACTAGACAGCACAAGAAGTGGTCCCAAGGCTGGCAGGGGAGATGGGGCAGCCCATCCCCACCAGGAGCAGCAGGAGAGGAGGAGAGGGCAGCTGGGGAGTGAGCTCAGGTCCCTTCTATCTCAAAGTGCCAGGCATAAGGAACCTGATCCAACTGGCTGTTTCAGCATCCAGCAGTATCCGAGATGTTCTGGGGTGACCACCTGGCCTACACATTGATACAAGAGAAGGACACAGGTCCTTCAATACCTGCCAGCACCATGCAGATGGCTTGGATACCCAACAGCATCCAATGGGGTGCTAAATCCACATGTAAGCAACTACATTTAGTCCAAAAAGATGCTCATGGCTGCGAGTGTTCTGCTTAGAAACTGTCTTTGGGCTCAAAGGAATGGAAGATCACCACTCTGACCCCTCCACAGGGGTCCAGACAAATCACCAGTGCTGATGGGCACCACAGGCAGAGCTTGGGGCACCCACTTGAAACCCTACAAACTCTTGAACACCATCAGTTCCAAAACCAGACTGCCAGGGTTGAAAGAAAAGAAAGAAAAGGAGGGTTTGAAGGCACAGCCTGATTCTTCACCATTTTCTTATCAACGCTCATGAAACCAAACGGCCTAGAAAAAAACATGGAGGAGCTCTCAATGTTAACTGCCTTCTGGAGAAGCTTTAGTAGCCAAGGAGACAATGCTTAAAAGCTCATGTGTTGTGATTTCAGAGCCTGACAGCATTCTGCAGACTCTGACTGGTGACAGTGACCAACAGTCAGTGGTGACTGGGGCCACATCTGCACCAAGTTTGGGTCCACGTTTTGCAGTTCCACAATTCATAGTCAGAAGACACTGCAAATACAAATTTTCTTGATGCATTTGATTGGACTGCACTCAGAAACTCTTATCAACAGGTTGAGAAATTTTTCAGGAGCACAGTTTTGCCCAGAAGCTACAAACACGTGTGGTCAGGCCCCGACTTTCAAAGAGGGTCTTTTTGTTGTTGGACCCAAAACTGTAACAACTTGTGCTCTGACAGCACCGTGACCACACAGCACAGAATATACATTTAATTTAATTTAATTGTGCTACTTACATCCTGCAAGAAGCTGAACTTGAAGGTTAAATACACAAAAGAAAAAAAAAGAGCAACAGTTTTCTTGTCACCCTGATTTTAGAAATGGAAAATGAATACATAAAAGGCTTAAAAGTATTGACCCCCCTGCAGCCACATGGGTGGGTCACCACACAAAAGAGAAGCAGAGTTTCCAGTGTTCCAGCTCTGGACACTGCTTCCCAGCTGCAGGCTTTATGCTCCCATTTCTATCACATGTGGGGTTTTCTGCTCCACCTCACATCACAACACACTGGGCAGGAGAACACAGCCAGCAGCTCACAATCTACCCGACTTGATGATGGAATATCCTATTGCAGAACTAGTCCTTGAGATGAGGACTACGTCCTTGCTGTCCTCATCTCAAAACCAAGGGCTTGAAGCTGTCCCCACATCAAGCCCAGGCCACTGGGCAGCCTGGGTAGGCAACTTTCACTCCTCATTCTGACTCTGCTCCCTTTCATATACGTAAATATTAACTGGAACAGAAATTGAACTCGTATCTCACCTTCCCAGTGAGTGCCCTAAGATCTGACACATGGTTTCTCTAGCCCTGCTCCCACATTAAATAATTATTCAAAGTTGGGTAATTCAAAAAAGGAAAGACCTAAAATAGCTGACAGTTTGCTCAGTGAGGCACGTGAGCTCAAAGCTATTTCAGGTGCTTTGTTCTTGTCTCTGATGAAATGACAGTGAATTCACTTCTTTTCTATACATACAGACTGATTTTGCAGCAACGTTGTAGCAGAACCCCCTGATCACCCATGTTGTTAAAATATTCTGAAGCTGATGAAGCTCAGGTCTGCCTGGATCTGAAGGAAGACCTTGGCAGATCATAGATCACCTGAGATGAAGGCTGGTGAAGACCCACATAGGAAGACCAAAGGCAGGGGGAGCAGGGGCACAGCACAGGCTGACAGCACCCAGCTCTCCCTGGGGAACTCACCCAGGACCTCCCAGCCTTTTGTGCTCTCCTTGTATCTCTAGTGATCCTTCTCAAGCACAAATTTTGTCCCTCAGTTTTATGTCTTCGTGCCTTCACAGCTTGAGGGCTTAAGTGAACAAGGTGATGAACAGTGGCAGTGCCCACAGTAGGTAAAATCAAGGTCCCTTATCTCTCCCCTGACAGTGACCAGCACACACAATTCAGAGAAGGTGGAAACACCTACACTAAGAAAACAACCATTTTCTAGTGCTCCAAATATTCCAGTGCTCCAAATTTTCTTGCATTTATTTAAAGGCACTGCTACCTGGCAGTAGGTTCTCTCCCTGCTTATGCAAATGTACAAATTTACATTTCTGCCAATTCCATAGCAATTATTCCAACATCTTACTCATTAATTCCCACAAACACATTCAGTGTTATCTTTTTGCTAGGCCTGAATCTGTTACATTGCTGCTCTCCTTTATACCCTAAGCAGGATATTGAAATGAACTGCCCAGAGCTCTTCAGGACACCTGCAGAACAACACCTTCCATTTTAACACACTTGCTGCCAGGGTGAGATCCAAGCACAAGGGCTGATTCTCTCAGCAGGTACATGTTGAGTGACCTGCTCACTTTCCCAGTAAAGATTTTTCTCACTGCAGGCAACGTTGCTTCATCCCTCCCCAAAGGCCAAGCTGTGTGCAGACAGCTGAGCTTGCCTCGCAGAGACTGGTTTCACATGCCTAAACCCATGGGATCAGCACCTCAACAACCCCTCTACAGACCCTAAGATGATACCTGGGCCCGTTTCAGAAGCTGCTTTCTGGTATCAACTGCCCTTCTGTTCTAGCTGAGGGCTTGCAAGTGTGTTTTCACATTTCATTTTCTCTGGGGAGGTGTGGGAACACAGACGTGCAGCTCAGCCAAGGCTCAGCACCACCACTGGAGCAGGGACCACCTCTCTCTACTCTTTCCACCACAAATTCACATCAGCTACAGAAAAACCTGTAACAAACCTGCCACCCGGGCAGTCAACGCCAACATCTTTAAGTATCTAAAGGGGAGAGCTGGGGAGGGACTTTTTCAAAGGCCTTGTAGCAAGAGGACAAGGGGTAGTGGATTGAAACTGGAAAAGGGGAGATTTAGGTGAGACATGAGGAAGAAATTATTTAGTGTGAGGGTGGTGAGAGCCTGGCCCAGGTTGCCCAGGGAAGCTGTGGCTGCCCCATCCCTGGCAGTGTCGAAGGGCAGGTTGGATGGGGCTTGGAGCAACCTGGGCTGGTGGGAGGGGTCCCTGCCCATGCAGGGGGTTGGAACTAGATGATCTTGAAGGTCCCTTGCAATGAGGAGCTCCTGGAGCAAGTCCAGAGGAGGCCAGGGAGATGAGCAGAGAGCTGGAGCAGCTCTGCGCTGGAGCCAGGCTGGGAGAGTTGGGGTGTTCAGCCTGGAGAAGAGAAGGCTCCAGGGAGACCTTAGAGCACCTTCCAGTGCCTGAAGGGGCTCCAGGAAAGCTGGGGAGGGGCTTGGGACAAGGGCAGGGAGGGAGAAGACAAGAGGGAACAGTTCCAAGCTGAAAGAGGGGAGATGGAGATGAGATCTCAGGAAGAAATTCTTTGCTGTGAGGCCAGTGAGACCCTGGCCCAGGCTTCCCAGAGAAGCCGTGGCTGCCCCATCCCTGGCAGTGTTGAAGGGCAGGTTGGATGGGGCTTGGAGCAACCTGGGCTGGTGGGAGGTGTCCCTGCCCATGCAGGGGGTTGGATCTGGATGATCTTGAAGGTCCGTTCCCACCCAAACCAGTCTGTGATTCTATGATATGATCTTCATCAGGACAACCATGCTGTAGTTTTATTATTTCCACTAAGGATTCTGTATTTGGATTTTTCCTCCCCTTGCATCTTTCTAGCTTCCATTTTTTTCCCAAACCAATCAGCATTTCATTTTGTTATAACAAATCGTACCCTCATTTACATCGTTCCTGTACTCTCCAATGTTTGTGACTTCAGCCACTTTAGGATTATCTCCAAATTTAACACCTTTACACATGCTGAGTAAATACTCTTAAAAAAAGTAAAACAACTCATAGAGTTAAAAAATAAAAGATAAAGCAGGACCTGAAACCACCACAAATGCTTAAACCCAGTATTAATCATTAAAACACACCAGACCAAAATCATTGATATGTAACAGACCTTGCTCTAATTCCAGTAACTTGCCAGCTAATTATTATAATTAGAAGCAGGGTAGAATGCAACACAGTGAAGTGCAGACAAAACTACAACGTCCTGCTGGCAAACTGATCCAGAACCTCTGAATAAACAACTGACTTGGAATTGGGCCTTCATGAGTCAGGACCAGCAACCTCCCATTCCCACCCAGTGTATTGGGCACTGCTCCCACAGCCCACGGGGTTCTCCTCCATACCAGAGCAGCTCTTCTTGGTGCACACCTGTACAACAGGTGAAACTCTATCTAGCACCAAGGTACGTTTTGTTGTACACAAAATGGGTATCAAGGTGAGCACAGGAGCACCAGAAAAAAGTAATAGTGGTTGCTTTTTTTCAAAAAAAGGTAACATCACAGCCAAATGCCCTTATCCCAGGGCAACCACCCAGGACTCAGTGAAAACCTGACAAATGCCAGGCCTGGGCAGGGTTCCATCCAAGTCCCTGAAAGAGAAGGGGCTGTGTAAGCTGCAACACCCACTGAGCTGCTGGGTGGAGAAAGAGCTTCACCCTCTTAGAACTGCACCTCTTTCACGTCTCACGTTGTGCTCTTCCAACCTCCCCATTCCAGTTCCAATTTTCACCATTTTACTGATTCAAGAACTAGTAGCACATACATTACCAGCACTGACATTTTTTTAGCATCTGGGGCCAAATCTGCTTTTAAAAGCACAGCAGAGAATAAAGTTTGAAATTACTAAATTGAAACTGTGACTACCTGAAATAGCATTATCCTAGACATGAAAGTGAAGGAAACATCCATTAATAATGCAATAACTGTGCAACTAAAAAAGAAAGCACATGGGAATTTCTGAATCATGCATATTGACAGTGCATTTTGAGAAAACAACACAACAGTCACAACTTCTACTTACACTCTTCCGACCTCACATTATTGAATTCGATCTGTAACTGAAATCTAAACCAATGTTTTTGAGATGGAAAAGGTCAATGCCTTGAAATTCTCATAATAAACAGATAGAAAGTTGTAAAAAAAAAGTAGCAGGCAAGTATTTGAATGTAGACAGGTATGTGTTATCATTAAAGAGACCCAAGAGATGCAGCAGAAAGAGGGCAGTCAAACAAGCATCACTGCAGTTTGACTGGGGAGAAACCAAAGCAAGGAAATAAGGGGAAATTTTTCTTCATTAAAAATATTTTTTAAAGCTCCCTTCTAGATACTTTACATTTCTGGTCTCTGTCTGGTATGTTTGATACTTTCCCTAGTTCATTGATTTTTTGATTTAAACTATTTCTCGTCCAGATTGACTTGCCTAAGTAATTTACGTCTTATTATTAACTAATTAGATTAGAGCTGAATCCTTGAGATGACAGCTGTGGAACCACCCACCTTGGGTACATGCACTGCCAGGGTGTCACGTGCTGAGACCCTGGGACCACGTGGCAACTGTACCAGCCTCACTTAATCTGTCCTTGATTTCCATTATTCAGCTCTGTTAATGCCAGCAATCTCAGTAAGCAAGAGAGTGTTTTTCTTCTGTGCTAAAAATGCTGCACCAAATAATCGTTTTACTTCAAGCAGTAATTCTGATTTAAGCCCATCTAAGTCTTGCTGCCCAAGATGAACAAGATGCAGTTCAACCTTCCCTCAGCACCAGTGATAAAGCCCTGGGCTTGGTGCTCTCTTACACGACGTGATGAAGAATTAAAGCCTCAGCACCAGAGCTTCCTCTCTGCCCAGCTGGATACAAGTTCACATGATTTTCATAGAATCATAGAATCCCAGGGGCTGGAAGGGACCTCGAAAGATCATCTAGTCCAACCCCCCTGCCAGAGCAGGGGCACCCAGAGCACATCACACAGGAACGTGCCCAGGGGGGTTGGAATGTCTCCAGAGAAGGAGACTCCACAGCCTCTCTGGGCAGCCTGGCCCAGGGCTCTGGCACTCTCACAGCAAACAAGTTCTTCCTGAGATTCCCATGGAACCTCCTGGGCTCCAGTTTGCACCCACTGCCCCTTGTCCTGTCACTGGTCAGAAGTGGATAGATCACCTGATACACGGATATATAAAAATACATGTATATATATAGACACACACGCAGCTACAGAGCAGAACACCCAGCAGAAGTGCTGTCCGAGCTGACAAAGCCACTTGGCTACACTCAAGTCCTTCCCCACAGACATCACCAAAACCCCCTGAGGGCCTCTCACCTGTGGCAAGTGCAACTGGAGCCCCTCGCTGGGGATGGGCTGGCGAGACGGGGTCTGGTCCAGCTGCATGTTGAACAAGGACGCCAGCGCCGACTGCGCGGCCCGGGCTTTCGCCAGCTTTTTGTTCCTCCCTGAGCCTTCGAAAGTCTGACCGTCCACGGCCACGGCCATGACAAAGTTCTTGGCGTGGCTCTCCCCGCTCTCCGAGAGGAACTCGTACTTCAGCCCGGGCCGCAGCTCGTTGAGGATCATCACGGGGTTCTTCCCGCTGGCGGAGGGGTAGGTGGGCGGCGCGGGAAGGGGCGACTGGGAGAGGCCGCCGGGAACGGCCGAGGATGGCAAAGCAAAGTCCCCCCCGGAGCCAAAAGCCCCGTCCCCGTTGGAGCCCAGGTAGAAGGAGGCGTCGGAAGGGACCGGCGTTTCAAACCCGTTGAAAAGGGTGTCGGGGAAGTCCGCCTGGTCGGAGGTGAAGTCCGTGTTGACGGACAGAGTCCTGCCCATGGCCAGGTGGGCTTCGGAGGCGTTGGGGAACTGGACGAACGACCGCAGCGCCTTCTCGGCAGCGTGGAGCTTGGCTTTCTTCTTGGTGGGGCCAGACCCTTCGAACACCTGCCCGTTGACTTCCACGGCCATCACGAACATGGGGGCGTGGACCGGCCCCGTCTGGGAGAGGAGTTTGTACTGCAAACCGGGTTTAATCTCATTGAGTTGCATCAGGGCGTTCTTGGGCAGGACGGGGCCGGGCGTTTTCTTCCTCTTCTTGGGGCGGAATTTGGAGTGGCCATTGTTGCCCTCCTCCAGGGGACGCTTCCTGCTGCTGCTGCCACCCCCGTTGGAGAGCGGGGTCCCCTCCCCGCCGCCCTCCTTGGCGGGAACGTTGTCCACGTTGCGGTTTTCCTTAACGTCGGCGCTGCTCGAACCTGCGGTGCCCAGAAAGAGTAACTTACAATGCCTTCGTTGCAGGACCTTGTAAATGCAAAATTTATAGATTCCTTTATCTCTCTTTGTAGCTGGAGAAGTGATGTGTGCTGGCGAGGCGACGCGTTGTTTTTGCAACGCGAACGGGGGCGACAACAAAGCAACGCGGTGACTCCACAGGGAACACAAGAGGGACTTTCAAACTACACCTTTGATCACCCAGCAAAAAAAAACAACAACCCACTGCGTGTAAATCATGCTGGAACAAACCCCTTCATTCCTAAGTTGTGTTTGGCCTTTAACCCAGAGACATTAAGTTATAGTATCGTGCACCTCTGAAACCAAGAAGCACCATCAGAAAACTGCAAATGGATGCTTTGGGCCTGCACTAGGAGATGGATATTGAATTCTACTTCGTTCTTATCTTAGTCACGTTAGGGTTTTCTTCCTCAGCTATTTTAGTTGCTCAAATTGAGAAATAACAAATAAAATGTGAGCCGTGAAAAACTGGGCAGCTCTTTGGTAGGCACCAAAGGTGACTGGAACGTGTTTCAGTGCTTTCCTTTCTCTCCAGCTATTCCACATGCTCCAAATTCAAGTCTTGTTTACACCTTCTCTAGATGTTCCTTTCACTTTACATCAACCTGCTCGGGAACTACAGCTGCCCACTGTGCCAGCACGGCCACAAGACTGCTCCAGGTATTTCCACAGACTCTTCCACTGAGAAACCTTATCTTTGTCATTTGGATGAGAGTTTTTAATTCCTTGCAAAGTAAGAAAATGGCTGTCACGGAGTAACACACCCAACAATCATGACAAAGATGCTCCCTTCAGACTCTGCAGGACACAAGAAGTGTGACATAAGCTGTGCAGTCACAATGATCATATTTTTACAAGGGGAAAAAAAAAAAGCCATAGTAATATTATGTCAATGATTTATTTTCTAAAGTAGAAATTTGAGGTCATGATATGTCAGAGGTATATTTAAAGAACTGCTATAACTGCAAAGGCTTAATTCTTACCCTGATTAAGAAATTAAGGAAAGTGATTATTTCTGCTTTATATTGGCATTTGTGAATGAAAAGGCAAACTTAGCAGGTCAAAGTGTTCCTAACTTTTCTGTCACAAAACTTCAAAATACCTGTATTACATTTACACTGACACTAAGTGATAAGTTTTAGCTGAGATGAGAGAAAGCCAAGGTGGCTCCTTCACGGGGATGAAGTTTAGCCACCCACGCTTTAAGTCTTCCCTAGCAATGCCCTACAATGCACACATCACTTCACCCAGGTTACAAAGCTGATGGAATGGTTACTAAATTTTCATTTATAACATCCTCCAGCAAAAGCTCGATAGGTTACTCCTTTCGGTGCTCCAAGGGAGAAAAAAAAGAAGAAGAAAAAAAAAAAGATCAAAAGGAAAAGCCAAGGCAGGAACACGTTTTGTTACATCACAGCAGCACAACAAAGACTTGCACAGTACTGAACATTACATTCCAGTCAATTCAATCTGGTCCGGAACAGGACATTAAATATTTTGAAGCATTTCATGGATAGAAATCTGCTGAATTTCAATATCTCTTGCAACATCCAGCCACAAATGTTATTGCCTGGGGAATGGGTGCTACAGGGCCACAGCTGTCAATGCACAGGGTTCATGCATATCCTTTTTATATATGTATTTATATAAGGTGAAGAAATCTAAGGACATTTACATCTTTCTTTACAACAGCGAGTTTCTTACATGAAGCTGTTCTTTCCAGAAATTAGATCTCACATAAAACATCACTCTGGAACACTGCCCTTGCTAGCAGCACCAGGACTTTGCTATCCACCAACATGACTTTCAGGCTAAACAGAAATAATTCCGTTCACTTGAATTAATGGCCTCTATTTTTAGGTTTCTTTTTACATGAAGACCACTGCCAGTGCCTGTGGAAAGCACAGGAGGAGCTGAACACTTCAGCTGAACATAAAAAAAAGCAAAGTTCTTTTGCATGTAAGTCTGGCAGCAGGAGGAATTCCTTAACCCATCTTGTGACACAGGCAGAGGAAATGATGTCCTGACAGGGAGGGGGACTTGTGGGAAGCAAGAAAGAAACTTGCACGCTTACCTTGTCTCAAAAAGAAAGAAGGGAAGGAAACTACCCCTTGCCTGAGAGCTACTGGGCTTGTGAGCTTTGGAGAACCTGCACGGTGGAAGAAGCTAGGAGAGAAAGCAAGCAGGGTGCTAGCAGCCTGAGCTGAACCCCAGGACCATGAAAGTTTCTACATCATGGAGGTGATCCAAATCCAAGCCTTGCATGAGGTGGAAAGGAAAAGACCTTCCACACCAACCAGAAGGACCCAGGTTTGTTTCCACCCACAGAGTCACTGACTGCAAGAAAGAGCAACTGCTTCTCAGGCTGAGGGTGGAGATGTGCATCCTGTCCTTTTCTTTAGCCTGTCCTGCCCAGCAGTGCTGAGGTCCCCTAATTACCTTAAAGCTGGAGAAGAGCTGACACACTAGTCAAAAAGTAAGGTTAGTTATCACCATCTGCTAAAGTCAGAGAAGCCATCTTGTTTAACCTTGTCCCATGTGCAGACATGGAATAACTCCTCCAGTATTCAAAACCAGCAAAATTTTCATTATTGTAAAGCTGAAGTCTCAGCAGACATGGGCCACCACTCCATGAAGGTCCTAAAACACAGCTTAGAGAATTTCAGAGTCTACTGCTCTGATCCAAAAACCAGTATTAAGCCTTATGATGCCAGCATCACTGTGAAAATAAGGCAGGGAAATGAGAACTGTGAATGTTATAACACTATTAGAAAGTATAAAGCATATGAGCAAGCTAGCAGGAGAAAAAAATCACCATCTCAATTATAAAAAACCCTCTGCATTTGGTAATGGATGCTCTTAATTTTCCTTTTTTTCTTTTTTATGAAACTGTTCTATGTTAACATCCTATGTCTTGCCCCAGAAAGGTTACATGGTCTTGGTGAATTTCTTAACGTACAAAAAAATCAAGAGGCCTAAAACCAGCTTGACCCTGTATTTTAAACTTTCAAGCCCATGTGTTCTCCAATCTTTAAATAAGTTTTCAAGGAATTAATGTTTTAAAGAGGCCTTTTGAGGCCCATCATGGCTGCTGAGTATTCAACACTTGAAAGCAGCATTCATACAGGTACATCAATCCCACTTGATAACGGGATCCTGTTCTCTTAAGCACCAATCCTACCCACAATTTAAGAGCAAGACATTTGTCATAAGACTGGCTTATTTTCTAGTCACTAAAAATAGTTGGCAGCTTTGAGTAGAGATTTCACCAGCATCTGTAGAAGCTGCCTTGGTAAAAATCACAGCTGACAGAATCAGGTGCCAATTACTTCCATGGAAGGCAAGTCCTGCCCCTGAAATCTTGTTGGAGAGGCTTAGAAAACCAAGAGCACTCACAGAAAGAAAAGAGGAACAGGAAATTTTCACACCAGTAAAGAAAGGAATCTTCAATCTCAGTGTGTTCATTTATTTTCTGTTTTATTTGTCTGTAATTAAAAAGTGTTGGTAATTAAGATGCTGTACCTCTTGGGGAACTTCCATTACCTGTTTGCCAAGAGGCAACACTCTCCCTGCTGGAGACCTGGAGCACACTTAATCACATGTAGATGGCACTTAGCTGAACCAAAAGATATTTCTAGCTACCCCTTACACTGCTGCTCTCATTTGCTGGCCTGAGGAAACACTAAATAAGTCATTTTTTCATAAAAAATGGGCAGAAAAAAAAATAAATCCCATGTGATCTCTTCTGAGCATCTTTTTAGATGGAGGGAAAATGATCAAAGAGAAAGGCCAGGACAGGTGATCCACAGGGACAGGTAACATTACACCCAGCACATCATCTAGTTCTGTTGTATTGTTGCTTCTGCCAGGCTCTCTGACTTGATGCTGTGATAATGTGGATGAGCTTCTGGCCCAGGGCCCTGGGGCAGTCAGAGTGCTGCAGACACACCAGCCAGGCAAAGCAACTGAAAGCCAAGTAAGAACATTCTAAAAAACCAAGAATCTTTCCCCAAACATCTTGTAACATCTTCTCTAAGCTCAAGGGATAAAGGAGGAAGAACTTAAAACCTGAAGTCTGAAACACTGTTTTCTCAGGGATATTAATGAAACCACCATTGTCTTCCATTTCAGCTGAGCCAACACAATTTTAATTCTGGCTTCTGCAGAGCAATTCTAACTATGCAGCTGCAAGCTACAAATACTGGATATGCCCACCTTCCTCTCCTGTAAGATGCCTCCCCAAAAAGGAGCTATATAAAATAATTAAAAATGTAATAGGCAACTTCTGATATTGCACTTCACAAGCTTAAATACTAAAAGGTAAGAAATTAAGAAAACCCCAGTCCTGTGCACAAAACAAGGTGAACAGCTTAAGAAATGGAACTTTCATTTCTCCTCCCCCAAACCTGATGATTTAACATGTCAAATTCATGATGTTCTTGTGGGCACACAGACGCAGGAAGGTCTCCCTGCCTTGTTATCTGTAGCTCCCTTTCAAAAACATGGCATAGATGACATCTCAAAACATCCTTCTGGGGGACAGCTATGGTTATACAAGTGCATGGCCCAAACCTGTCACAACCCCATGGAGCCAGCCTCCTGACAAGACACTAAGTTCAGTGAATGGTCTCCCCATATGGGTGCACTAACACCAAAAATAAAACAACCCAAACAAAAGCAGACAAAAATGGAGTATGTTGCTCCATGAGACTCCTCCAGACTGAACTACAACTCCTTTGCTCCAAAGCCTCCTACACACCTGGGCTTTGTCTGCTTTGATGCAGGCTTTAGGCATTGTCACTTAGGGGAAAAATAAACACATTTGTTATTAAATCATATACAATTATTTACAGTGAGACACAGCACATCAGGATAGCAGCAGCAAAACATTCCTCACACAAAAACTGATAGTTGAAAGGCCAATAATAGTAAAAATATTTGTATCATGTTTTGATGAGAACACTTTTCTCCACAGACTATCAGATCTTAATTATACCACAGAGTGAGCAGCACTTTGCCAGCCTGTGTACCAACATGATTTTTGTGCTTAAACACACTTGAGTAATTCAGTAGCTTGAGACTGTAACAATCAGCATCCAATGAGAATAATCAGCCATGCAAAACTTGTGGGGGGCTCTTCTAGCTCCTCCTTTTGATTTACCTTCCTCTGTTTCTGCTTGCTCTCATTTATTCTGTACACTTCAACTCCACCTCCTTCATCCCATCTCTCCCTTCTGCTCCCTAACAAGCTCCAATTCACTCTTTTATACCATATTTTAACACATACGGAGAAGTCATTTGAATTTGTGCTTCCCAAGCTTCTTCAGAGTTGTCCCTGTGAAAAAGTCACCTTCAGAAAGGAGTATTACTGGGCAAATAAGCACATCTTACTCATGTTCTCCTCATCGTCTGCATCCATGGTGAAGTTTTTTAGCTGGTTTCTTGGCTGGCAGAGACTGCTTCTGTCTGGAAAACAGAGAGTGGAACATTTCAGCTCCAAGGTAACAACCTACAAGGCAAAGCATTACATCTCCTCTAAAAGCAGCAGCCTGGGCACTGGTTTGCTTCAGGCTGTCCCCAGTTCTTGCTCAGTTGTCACACAGAATTTCCCTGAAGTGCTTATTCTGTAGCTGAGGTGCACTCTGCAGAATTACAAATTCAACAAGGTTTGCCAGAATTTGGGGTTTTGTGTGATGAATGATAATCATTTCTATTTGTAAGTATGTAAGCTACTTCACCTCACTACCTCTTTTTTAAAAAAAAAACCCAAATAATGTCACATCAAGTAACCACACAGAAAATTCCAGCACCCCAAACACTGAAGTTCAAGGGTTTTTTTACCAGCACCAAACTGATTCATATCTTTGTGGTTTACTTAAAATATGTGCTGCTTTCTAGGTAATTGTTCCAATTGCATCATGCCACAAGGGCTCCAACAGAGCACACTGAACCCTAAAACCACATAGGGACTTTTGATTTTATCAAAAGATTCATTATTACATTGAGGAGAAAGTAGAGGGATTCACATTCTTACACTGGAGTGGAACAAACCATGGAAATTTGCCTCATACCTGCCAATCTCCTGAATTCTGTTCATCTGCCTTTTAGCTTTTCTGAAGCATTAACAACTCAGTGTTGTGCTTTCTACAATCCGCATTGCATTTTTTTTGTTTAATTTTAAATGTTTTGTGCATTTAAAAAATATACAATGTATTCATTTTCTGCTGGTTCTTTACCACAGTTAAATCTTTGGAAAGCACCCGAAGAGAGTCAAGTCCAGTACAAATGCAGAATCGCTCTGTGAGAATCTATTCCAGTGTAACCTCTGTAAATGTTGACTCCTTTTTGCTGACAATCAGATTAAATTCAGACTGAAGCCCTGCTTTTAAGTGTCTTTGATCTTACTCCAAAGCTATTACACACAGTCCACAGAAATCACAGGGTGAAACCTCAACCTGCTGTTACTTCTGGCAATACAATTCTCTGCCAGCAGTTTCAGTCTTTGGCTTAGCTTACTTTTAGCACAGACAGGGTCAATTCTAACTATTCTAACTATCCCTGCAGAGTTTGATTCCACTGTATGTATCTTAGAGGATACCTTTGGAGAGGTGCTCAGAATACTGGGGCTCAGCAGGTGTGCTCACACACGCCGGGTCAGACCAGCCCCTTCACCCCAAAGCCTGTATTGACACTGGGGGTCACCAGGACCCTGCACTTGGCCTTGAACCTCATGAGGTTCACACTGGCCCACTTCTCGAGCTTGTCCAGGTGCCTCAGGATGGCCTTCCATCCCTCAGGTGTGTCAACTGCACCACACCCAGCTTGGTGCCACCTCAATCCCACTGTCAGTGCCACTGGTGAAGATATTCAGCAGAACTGGTCCCACGACAGACCCCCAGGGGACACCACTTGTCACTGAACTGCATCTGGACATGAAGAAGTCTTATCTTTGCTTACAAAAGAAGAAAAAAAACCTCCCACAAAAAACTCCTACCCAAAAATGAAAGATATGTAGGGATAAAGCCACAAATAACACAGCTAACTGCTCGACAGCAGCATAACCCACAGGGATGGTGCCCCTGGAGTCCTTCTCCAGCCCTTCAGCCACAGAAGCAGCACTGCCACCCCTGTGGTCCAAACAGTTGGCTGAACCATCCATCTACTGACCAACAACACACTTCATCCCTGATGTACCTGGAGATGACTTCAGACAGGACAATTCCTTGAACTGACCAGTGAAACTGTCACTTCAAAACCAGGTTTTTGTACACCTGCAACTCCTGGCCCACAGGTGATTAAAATGTACATATTATAAGTACATCAGAAACAACAATAAACTCCAAAATATACCAGAAGAACAATGTTAAAATATGCACACAGACGTGTTATGTTTGCAACTTTAACATCCATGCTAAATGTTGTTATTCAGTAATTTAAATCAATCACATCTGTTTATCCTCAACTGAACAAATCCTCAGCAGGCTCCTGTTGGCAATTTTCACAGCTTACTTCTCACAGCAGGAGCTAAGCAGCCCTTACTGAAAACAGAAAATGTGCCTTCAGCAATCATTACACTAATTAATGCTTCTAATAGTAGAATGAGAGAGAAACAGATTTCTAGGTTTGTCACCATTTAATGCACTGGTTCAAAAACAAAGCTCATTTGCCTGCAGAGACCCTGAATTTCCTACCCCACCACCAAACATTTAAGATCAGCCCAGTCTGTGACTCAAACAAGTGGCTTTGCTCAGGCAAGATGATGCCTTTTCACTCCTCAGGCTTCTCTGGAGAAGACACTGATTTAAGTAACTAAAAGGGTTCTTCTGCACAAACAAGGAGGAGAGGCAGTGACAAAAGATGCAGAAACACACTTTTGAGCACAAGGAGCTGTTCAGATTCCACAGTAGCCAGACAGTGGAAACCCAGATGGTAAAAATACAAGACAAGCAGTAAAACCCCTGCTGATGTTGTCACCAGCAGTGCAGAATTCCAAGGGGCAGAGAGTTAAAATACTTGACCCATCCAGAGTTTTCTTTCCAATTCCAGGAGTATGTATAAAATGACTGTACAAAATGCCCATGTGAACTCCACCTGAGATGCAACCAAAGCTTTAGGCAAAGGGTGAGTTTCAGAGTGTCAGTCTCTCCCCTATGCCCTTGCCACCATTCACCTTGTGTACTGCAGCCTCCCTGCTGCTCCCTGACAAATCCTCTTTGCCAGGGAATGTCTGCAGAGCCAAAGAGGTTCTGAGCCCATGGCTTCCAGCCTGGGTACACACACAGGTGCTCATGCTCCCTGCAGGGGTTGCTGCTTCCCTTCCTCCCTCCCTCCCTTCTTCCCTTCCTTCCTCCATCCCTTTTGCTTCACAGAAAACTTGAGCAGCTCCTCACACCCTGCCCAGCTCCACCACTGCTCCCACACGTCTGGCAAGACCAAGTTGAACTTCATGCCACAAAGCCATCAGCCATGCCTGTCCCACCAGGCTTTCCTGTGAGCACTGTCACAGCAGGAACAAGCAAGATACTTTGGAAAGAAGACAAAGAAGACATCGCTGCAGAAAACCTGCGATGTCGTCCTCGCACCTACTCTGAACACGAGCACAACACAAGAGGACCTCTGTGACTGCCAGGCTCCCTGCAAGGCACCAGCTTGAGACAGGCAGGGTCACACCTGTCTGATCCAGGTGCCCGTGAGACCTGGAACCACCTGCCTTGTCCAGTGTTCAGGACAGGGTGCCACACTTGAGCTGCAGCAGCACCAGCTTGGACATCTCCCTCCTGCCTCCTGAAAGCAGATGGACAGAGGGAGGGGAGGATCATGCAAATCACATAAGCCCTTTCCCCTAAAGAGATTAGAAATTCGAGTGAAACTTTTGCTAAACAGGCTACTTTTATTTGCTCTGTAAAAGCAGCTTAAATTTGCTTTCCTGTTACTGCAGAGAAAGCCTGACTCCAACCCTAATTAACTCTGTACCATCAGTAAGGCTGTAACTCTTGGCACACTAATGTTGCCACCAACCAGATGATCTACATGGAAATTATGGGCAGCATTCTGCAGTTATGTGCAGCAGTGAAGAGGAAAGATTTAACAGAAGCAGCAAAACTCATTCTGTACAGATACTCAGCTCAGATACCACAGCCAACGTCTACTAAAAATCCAATTGTGCTGAAAAAAAAGTATAAAAATGGTGTCTGCAACAGGTGACAGCTTTTTGTGGGCTACAGCAAACAATGTTTGTGCATTATCATTAGAGCACCAGTATCGTGTCAACTGTTTGTACTTAATAACTACAGATAATATATTTTCCATCTTTTAAGTATCAGTTCAGGATAAAATTTCCTTGAAAATAAATTAATTATCAGAGAAAGGACCTGGAAGGCTGAAAAAAAATCTGAAAAATCAGGTTTTCTTTTGAGTAAAGATTATTTTCAGAAATATTTATTTCACTGTGTACCAAACAGTACAGTAAAATGCTCCCAAAACAACAGAATGCTTTACAGGCTTTGGGCAGTTCAGGTATTCCTAAAGACCACAGGAAGCTTCAGCTCAATGAAGTCTGCACCACCACCCCATACATGTCACTGAATACAGGTTAAAAGTGTGAGCAGGTGGCTGGGAAACTCTTATCAGTGACCAGAGTCAAGTGCAATTATCACTGTCAGGCCAGACAGGTTTGGGGAGAGTGAGAGCTGAGGCAGGTACAGGGTCTGAGCCTGAGTTGGAAGAGGAAGAGGTTTCCTCTCCTTTTGATCCATCACCCTCAGGAACCTGATGCCCAGCAGTGTCCATCCCTCACAGCCAGACACACTTGTCACCACCATCCAAATAAACCTGGGTCTTGGGTTTTACCAGCCCTTCCATACAAAGTAGGACCCACATGTGCTTTTGGAAATTGGGGATAGATTTTTTTTTCAGAAAAAGGACTTAGAATGCAGGCTGCTCACTAGGGAGGCATCCTTGACTACTTCTTAAATCATTAACAATTACCACTTCACTTTGAAGAAGGAACAGCATTTTTTACTTCTTTGCCCTCCAAAACTTTTATTCAAGCAGCTTTCATAAAGCAGCACAGCTGCAATAAGAAGCTCATTTGCTGCCTGTACATAACCCAACTAGCAACTGATGTCCAGAAACCTCTCAGATCCTACAGGCACAAAGTTTCTACCATGGAGGTTGGATAATCACTGGTGGCACCTGAGCAAGGACAACTTCCAAAAAGGCTACACTGAAGCTTTTGCCTTTGCCTCTGACAGCAGGTGTGAGGAAACTCTCAAGTTTTATTCCTAAAATCTTGCTCAGGGACAGGCAACACAATGGGAATAACACTCCTCTTTGAGAACACCAGCAAAATTTTAAGTTGGAAACAAAAAAAAAAAGGTAAGAATAAAGGCAAAAGCAGAATTGCTACTCAGAGATGTACAGAAATAACAATATATAACAATAAAGAACAAAAATAACAATAAAGAACAACTGACAAATGTTAGTTAACTGATCTGGATTGGTGAATATACAGCATTTTATATGTGGAACAGGACTGGGCAGAAAGTCTGCTCCTTGCCTGCACAGTCTGCTCCTTCTCAGGCATCCTGCTAAAACAAATTCAAATTTCAACTGGATTATGCTGGTGTAGTAGAGGGGACTTTTGCCTTTAACAAGGAGCAACACACCACAGCCCAGCTGTTTGCTGAATAAACCCCCAGAAGCCAAGTGACTGCACAGCAGCACAGCCTGCAATATTCAGGCTACAAGCAGAACCACAAGAAGCTTCTCATTCCTAAATGCCTTGTATGTCAAACAGCAAAACAATATCTAAGTATATGCTGATTTGAGGTGTGAAAAAGGACGGTATAGTCACCATTTTAACTCTCTCCTGTTTTTGAAGTCTCTGTTTCCCACAGAGTATTTCCAAAGATGGGAAGAGCACCATGAGTACTTCTGAAAGAACCAGCCAACACAGCAGGATTTGCTTTTGTTTCCCTAAGAGGCTACTTGAAAGATTTATCACTAGAAGTGGCTGCAGCAAGAACACACTGCAGGAGTACAAAGAGACAGAACTTGTGTTTCTTTTGTTTGAATATTCTGCTTATTCACTGCACACAAAAGCTGTGAAGGACAAGAGCTTTCTTGGCTTATCCCCTGAAGAAAAACTAGATATACCTTGAATGGAAAACTTAGCAGCTGCCCAGCTCTTTGCTGTGGCTTCAGCCTCATACCCATCTCAGAAACCAGGAGAGATAAAAGCAAGGAAACATTTGTACATCCTAGTGCATGAAACCGAGATGCCTTTAGCATCCTTTGTAATTGCTGCTCATGTTTCTAGCCACGTGTGTCCTGCGTTGCCCAGAAATGCACAGAATCTATTTGTGAAGAGCAGGAACACACAGGAAGCAAATCCTGAAGAGCAACGTCTTAGTCCCACATCGTTGTACGGGGCTTTGTATGCTGGGCCTTTCCAAAAGACTTCCCAATGTCAGCATCAACTGAAGCACTTCCCACCCTTTTTATTAACAAAAAAAAGCAACATGTGACTTCATGAAATACTGTGATGTTATCCTGCTTACCCAGTTTGAGCCACCAGTTTGAGCCACCAGCTGGACGCGTGTTCACCCTGCTGGCCCTGTGAACCAGCAGCACTGACTGGGGGCTGCAGCCACCCTCTAACCCTGCCTGGAGATTCAACCTCTCAGGGCAGAACAGGGGATGTTTGCAGGTTTCTTCTGTGTATTACTCGAGTGAGGAGACTTCTCTGACAAGTCAACTCCACCTGCTCCTCTCAGACCTTCACTCCTCAGTACACTTGGCTCTTGGGAAGACAGCACAGGACCAAATCTGGACAAACCGTGATATGTAACTTATACAGACCATCACATACTGACAGCTAGCCAGGATGGCATTTTGGGGGAAAAAAAATTGCTATTGGCATCTTAAACTAGCTGTACTTCACCAACCAAAACCAACACAATCAAGCTGACTACTGGGATTGGGTTGACCTAACAAGGTCAGGCTCCTCTCTACGTCCTGCTCCCTCTGCTGCCACTTGCTCTCCAGATCCTAAGTACCAGCTTTTTCATCTCCAGTCTGTGCTGTAAAGCTTCTCAAATCTGTTAACTTGGTGTCTGAAGTTATTTCTGCAGGAAGCCTAAGTGCTAAGGTCTGCAAACATCTCCACTTACTTCAGAGGAGCTGAAGTTCTACTTCAGCACCCATGGTAACAGGCACTGCTTCACTGAGGACAGGAAATATCAATAGGACCAATTGTGCTCAGTTTATACAATTTAACAAGATGAACCTGCCCTGGTGAAACAAGCCACCAATGCCATGGTCACAGCACCCAGGAGGAAATGGGTTTCATCATCATCTAAGACCAGCTCCCCAAACCAGCCTTCCCTAGGGCAATACTGTGTGATCCTCCTTTGAAATAAACGTCAGGGGCATGTTCTGGGTTAACACAGCAGCATTTCTCCCTTCATGGAAACCAGAAATAGCCTCGTTTCAAAGTGACAATGAGCTGACACCAGGCAGGGATCCAGGAAACCCCAAGGAAGGGGGGAAAGGAGGAGAGCAGTGCTGGTGGTTGGTGAGGAAGGAGGGGAGGAAGGTGCCCGAGCAGAAGTTTCCCTGCAGCCCATGGGGAGATGGCAGTTGTGCCCCTGCATCCATGGAGGAACGTGGTGGGACATTCCCTGAAGGTGCCAGAATGGGGGAACTTGGCCCCTGGACTTGGATGTTGTGGCCAGTGGATTTGCTGACTCTGGACTCTGATTGCTCAGCTGTGGAAGATCCCTGTGCAAGGCGAGTTTGTTCCCGAAGTCCACGGGACTGAAGCAGCTCCAGACCTGGTGGGAAGGACTCATGGAGGAGAGGTTGGTGAAGGATCTGCCATGGGAGGGACCCCATGGGGAAGCAGGGCAGGACTGTGAGGAATCCTCCTTCCTGAGGAGGAAGGAGCAGCAGGAACCTCCAGCCTGTGAACTGACTCTAAACCCCATCCCCATCCCCCTGTGCTGCTGGGGGAAGGTCTGTGTGTGTCCTGCGTGTGTTTGATTAGTGTGAAATTAAATTGTTGTTTTTCCCCCAGGTTAAGTCTTGTTTTGCCAGAGACCTTAATGGGTGAAGATCCCTCCTTGTCCTTTGTCTCAAGCCAGGAGCTTTGTCCTCCTCACCCCAGAGTGTGTGTGGGGGGAGTTGAGTGACCATGGGGCTGTTCCTTTGCTGTCGTGTTGGGCCCAAACCCACAACATTTCAATCCACATTAAGCTGTGCACGACAGGGAAAAGACAAGCAGGGTGAGGCATCTGCCTCTACAGAAGGAAAAGCAACATTGATACACTGAAAGAGAGAAAAAACACTGTACAAAGCCAGCCTAGGTCTCTGTGTATTTATGGCTTGTGACAGGCAGGGTTTTCTGGCTAAGTACTTGTTTGTGAGCTGTGGCCCCATTGAGGTTCCCCAGCACCAGGAGGCTCCAGCTCTCCTGCCAGACACAAGTGTCTCCTTCACCTGATCCTCTTCACAGAGCTCATAGGAAGAACCTACCATACCTTTAGGTACCCACCAGACTCACTTCACATTAGCTAAGTTGGAAAGCTGCTGGGGAAAGGAGAAAGAGGACAGGAAGAATTGGATCACACAACACAAACTCACTACTACTTTTTTAATTTATTTTTTTTTTATGATGTTGCATGGAAATCTCTCTGCACCAAAAACACCCCTGCAAATCTCCTTTACTTACAGATTTGGCCACTATTGTCAGCCTACTTTGCACACACTTTGAAGAAAGAGTTGTATTTTGTAAGCAGTCTTTCCCCACATACAATCCATGCACTTTTTAAGTGCCAGGATTGCATTAGAGCCAACAGCAAGTTTGCCTTCAAGTTCTGTGAACTGCAGCAAGAGTGAACATAAAACTAGCAGCAGCCACTAGAATTGGTATGAGCACAGCAAATCTCAGGAGACAAAGCTGCTGGCTGCACACCAGGAACCCCAGGAGCTCTGATACCAGATGCATTTCCACTCCTCAGGTGATGAAATCCACCCTAACAGCACCATCTACTGTTACACTACATCATTGATTTTACATCTCTTGGCAAAGGAAGTCAAGAAATCAGAAATCCCTCACCATGTTTGCAGAGGTGTTCTACAGTAAATTCTTTTAGAGCATATATTTATTACAAGATTTTGGTTTAGGTATCACCACTTATCCTTCTTACTGGCTCACTTTGAGGACTGAAGCTCTAATTTTTAACATACATTATTTCTGAAGGACTCCTCATATACCAATGATTTGCAGAGATGTATTTATGATGTGCTTCCAAGGAAAAAGTGATAACTGCTCTGAGAAGAAAACTCAGCAGCCTAGATCTCCCAGTGAGTAGCATCAGTATTTTCATCATCATTTACAAGATAATAGATGCAGCTACCTAGTGGTCCTAGGGAAAATAATAGCTAAATGGAAGATAAATCTAACATAGTGCTAAGGGAGGTGAAAAAAAAGCCTCAAAGATTTTAAAGCTGTTTTATAAAAAGGAAAAAAAAAAGGTCACACAGGTAGGGTGATGCCTGGAGTTTGAAGACAGACTTCAAAACTCCTATGACAGTTGTCAAACTTGGCTCCAACACGCAGCAAATTCAATTCCTACATGCCTGCTTTGCATGTTTATTTTCTTGATATGGACTGGATAAAAATCTGCAGTCACAGGGCTAAGTAATTTTTTGCAACATATATGTAGACTTCATACAGTTAGTTCTTAATAACATTTCCTCCATTTTAAAACTGTACTGACCCAGTATCTTTCAAGTAGTCTAGTGTACAAGCATAACTGTAGGTTATATGTCACACAATAAAGTTTTAAGTAACTCTAAATACATTAAGATGAATTATCTCCTCCAAATTGTGCAACAATCAGAAAACAAATAATCTTGCTGTATCTTTGCAAATATGGTCTGCTTACCTTTTTAATTATGAGAGACACATGCTGATTCTGAAACCTGCAAAAAGAGGAGCACAGTTATATTTATAAAAGAAAAAAAAAATAAATCTAAGTGCATTACAGATAGTAACTCCTGGCCTTCAAAGGGACAAATTCTGATTTTGTAAGAATAAAAAGTACATATTGCATATACACAGTCAGAGCCAACTCCCTTGTAGCCCTGGCAAAGGCAAAGGAAAAACCATTCTGGACATTACTGGCTGGAAACAAGAAACCAAAAACCAGTCAACACTGAAGCTGCTTAGCACTTGGGACCAGGAGAAACACCCCAGAGGTACAAAGAGCTGCTCAGCAGAACCTAATCTGCAAGTTCTGCACCTTCTAGCAGAAAGGGTGAGCAAAACATTGGGCCAAAAATGGCTTAAAACTAAAATAAAATTCTTACAACTATTACTAACTAAGCAATCCTGCAAGAAAACCAAAAGTCTTCTTGTTAAAAGTTTTTGTGTTTGTTTTTTTTTAAATTTACATCTTAAATGTTCTTTCTCCTGGTTGGCATCCTCCTCAGGTGCCTGCCAAACCAGAAAATCCCCCACCTACCAGCAGTGGGGTGGGAAAGAACCAGCAGACCTAGGGAAAGGAGGATACAGGGCAACAGGAAGGACTAACACTACAAGAGACTTTATTTCCATAAATACTTTGTAAACTGCAAGGCTGTTCAACCAGGAACAGATGGTTTTCTTTTTACAGCTAACTCCTAGTTCTAAGAAAATATTGATATTGCTTTATCAGTGTGAAGATACACTACTCTAGCATGGTTCAGCAAAGCAGAGAAGCCATTCCCTGAACAAGAGTGTTGCAGTCAGGTGGCTCCATTCTGCTGAACCACACACTCAGAGCTCCATCAGAGCGGGGACACGACTTGGAAAAGCATTTGGGTTCTTTGCAGCTTGAAAAGAGCAGCAGTTTCTGCTGTCCGGCTGCCCACAAGAGGGTGCTGGCACCCTGCAGGACCTGCCACTGAGTTTTGGTCACAGAACCTGCACAAGCACAGCCAGGGACCACACAAAACCATACAAAACCATACCAAAAAATGGATCTATCCATTGGATCGCAACTGTTGAGGTCAAGTGAGAGAAGAAGGGAACTGCCACAATCACTGAAGTCCTTGCACTAGAGCCCTGCACCAATTCTGCCTTGGTTTTCTTCACTAACACCCCCCCAGCCAGCCCAGGCTGATGGAACCTGCTTCCTACTGTAGGACTGTCAGCAGCAAAACAGGTGGAGGGAGAAAGTGAGACTTGTAACACCTTAAACCAGGAAAGGTGCTACTGGAAGGAGAAGGGAAACACCACTGTGTTAGAAAATGAACAGACCCCGTCTGCAACGCTTCCTACTGGGCTCTACCTGGTGGCAGACAGATCCTAACGTGCTTCCCTGTGCCAGGACACTGGGGTTTGCCTGCTTGAAGGGGTTCCTCTAGGAGCTCAGCACCTCCCCAGAGCAACTCCACATCATGACTTCCAAAAATAAAATAATAAAGTAAAATTAAAAAATCAGTATACAATTTCTTAGCTCCTTATGAAGGTCAGGAAACAGGCCCTGGGGACAGATGCACATGTCACCTTGCTGGCATTTGCTTCCCTCATGGAATTCCAATTGGCATTTGAACACAGGCTTGTCCTTCTGTCACAGACAGGGGGAACATGAAGAGTTCAAAAGCAAGAGTTCTTTTCCATGGTGGCTGGAATAACTACCAAAAAGCAAACAGACACAGCCAAGGCTTGGCAGAGCAGCTTGGCAGCACCCACCACAGCTCTCCACTGGGCTGTCACAGCACTGTCACACCCAAGACACACGGGCTGTGTATGTAGACATGTCCTACACGTGTCACATGTGCTGCCACATCCAGTTCCCCACAGAGAAGCAGGCTTTTGGAGGAGCCACACTGAAGAAAAAGCCAGGAGATAAGCTTTGGCCAGCCTGCCTTCCCATCAACTCCTCTGCCCAGCTACTTCAGCAACTTCAATCATGGGCACCAATCACTCTAGCCACTGAAAACAGAACATGGAGATGGAAATCAAGCAACTTCCAAACAGCTTTCTTTCTAAAAATTACTAGTGAGTTTATTCACCAAAAAAAAATTGGGGAATACACTCAATGTGACTTCTCCCAGGGCAGCAAAGGACACTTGAAACCCATTTGAAGAACAGGTCAAACTGGACATTCAGGACTTTCTGAAAATACTAACTTGATAAAGCTCAACTGGAAACGTTTCAAGGCAATGAGAATCAAATCAGAAACCTGAAAACAACTCCATTACAGAGACTGCATCTCACATGCATGAAGCAGCCTCCAGTTTGCTGCCAGCCCTTTGAAAACTTCCACAGCAGAAAGGCACTGAGAGCCAAGGGTCAGGCAGCCTCACACTGGGCACGTGCACAAACACCTCTGTGTTTTCCTCCAGTAACTGGCAACAAGTTTCCCAGCTAATTTCAACTTGCAAGATGCTAGATTCAGTTTTGTAAGATTGGGGGGGGAAAGTACAGAGACCTGCAAAACATCCACCCAGAAGGGACAGGAGGCCCCACCTCCAAACACAAACCTGCAAGAACCACTCAAACTCACAGTAGCTACCTAGAGGCAGTTGCCACCACCTGTGTGGACAGGGCAAAAGACAGTAATTCCAAGGTTTATATACTTTCCTATTTGCTTAACTTCTCCAGTGCTGAACAACACAGGTAAGCCACTGAGGCACCTCAACTGCATGTACCCACGTGAAAAAAAACACAGGAATGTTTTAACATCCAGCATCCTCTGCCACTCCAGTTCCAACACTGGCTCAGGAAACAATCACTGCTTGGAGGTGGAAAGCCAACCCCACTACTCAGCTCAGTGTTGCTCAGTTTACATCCCAACACAGATTGCATCCAGACATTCCACAGAGGGCAAACAAGAAACACAGAAGACACAGGCACCTTTTTTCTAACTGATCTGCACCCTCCCTGAGCATCAGAGGAGCTAGAGGGGTTTTTTTATTATTTAAAATATACTTCCTTCAGCTCTCAACCCCAGATTAAGGTGAGCAGCTGGAAGAAACCTTTACTCCAGCCTGGACAAGCTGTCTGCTGTGACATAAGTGAATGCCAACCCATGCCAGCTGCCAAGCGCACACAGCTGACCATCAGTTTTTGGTTGGTTGTATTTAGCTTCTAGGATTTGTTCCTGCAGGTATTTTTCTATACCATCATCTTCTTCAACTAGGAACCTTTCCTGCTGCAAACTGTTCCCAGAGGGAAGGGTGTCTCCAGTTTGAGATGAGCTGTGAACAGCTACAGGGGCTTTGCTCCCACGGTTCCTCTTCTCCCAGGGAACCCTTCTTCATGGCAGATGTTGTCCCTGACCCCAGAAAATGACCACACAGCCTGCAACAGAAGACATGGCCTGCCTTTTCATACACGAAAGGGACAAGTCTCTGCCACAAACTAGAAACTCAGTTCAACAGCAAATTACAGAACTGTTTTCTCCTTTGGAAATAGTTTTTCCATCTAAATGTGAAAAAAATATATAAATTAATATCTATGATGATGATCTACCTTATCAGACTGAATTAATGAAAAAAATAGCCCAAACCACAGTCCCTGCATCCCTTTTGAATTGCTCATTTAAAATCCTAATATAAATGAGGAAAGACTAGCAACCAATAATTATAATGAGAAATATAGTTTAGGGGAAAAGGCCCCACATGCTGCAACTTCAAAAAAGCAGTAAGTGCAGCTCCCACACAATACAAAGCAGCCAAATGTGTCTCCCTCCCTTGGCATAAAGCAAACTCTTTTTTTGAACTTATTCTACACACAGAGCATTTAAGAGACTGAAACCAAGTTCACTGACACTTCAAAAGCTATGAAAACGTAGCAGCTATTAAGCAACAGGATTCAGGTTAGTATCCACAGAGAAAAAAAAAGTATGCTACTCCATGAACATCTGAGCTTTTGCTGCAGGTATCAGGTTACATTTCTCATTTATTCTGGAGCACCCAAGATTCAAAAGCATTCTGGAACAACCACAGACCATTATTTTTTTCCAAACATTCTCTCACAAAAAGATGTTTTCACACATTCAGGTGATACCAGCAATTCTCATTTCTGATTTTTCGTTTTGTGATCCCCTATGTCTGAACAAGTATATTAACAATGCTTTGATGTACTGGGGTTTTTTTTGTGACAGCCTAGAGCCTCAATATAAAATTTCAATAGTGAAATGACATTATTTTAAAATTAAAGATTTTAATGCCACTGTCTACAGAATCACAACGTCCCATATACAAAAGCAGGTACCTTGCAAGAGAATGGGACTGAGCCCAAACTATTCACACAAACAAAATTACCATAAATGTCTTCAGGGGAACCCAGCCTTTAATCTCGATTTTGTTATCTCACTACAGCTCATGTTTAAACGCTCACATTACTCACTTAGCTGTTTCAAACATCAGTCAAACTGCAACAGTACAGCAACTTAACATCAAGACTAAGCAGCAACTTTGGAAAGCAAGAAATTCAAGTCAACATTTGAAAGCAATTTCCCTGCTCTGTGTCAGGACCTTCTAGACAACAGCTACAACAACAGAAAAAAGCTCAGTTTGAATTAGACTGTAGACAAGAATTTAGGGCAGAAGACCAGCAGGGAAAGGACAACCCACATGTCCCTGCTGCACTGGCCAGTTCTGGCACTGAAGATGCTCCACTGAGAGAGCTGCTGTCTCAGCTATGGTGAGACACCATACATACAACATACAACCAGGGCCTCCTCTAGCAGAGCCTGAAAAAAGTACCTGTGAAACCTCCTGCACGCTCATTATACATGTTCAGCACATACTAAAGGCCTGCAAACCTTTCTTCACTTGGACAGCAGCAGTGTTTTTAAGACTTCAGAGCTAGGATGGTTGATTATTTACATTCTTGCCTCCTTCCTAGGGCAAAGAGAAGATGCTCGTGAGCTCCATGGATACCTTAGACTTCAGAAAAATGCCTCAGAAAGCAATGTTTAGTGAAAAGATG